AAGGGAAAAACATTTTCAAGCATGACAGTTTCAAGTGTGAAAGGTCCTTGAAGCTTGTGAGACTCATTATGCCTCTATTGGAGAAAAGGAATAAGCAATGCCAGAACATGAAGCATTCCACGATCTTGAAGTAGATGGTCCAAGAGAACAGAATGGATGAAGAATGAAACTTATAAAATTTCCTTGTGACGTTGTCAATTACCCATCAAGAAGAAGATGATCTCATTATTCAAAAGGGGCACATATTACAACTTGTATAAAATGCAAGACATTTTGTTAGAAAAATTAGGCACTTCTTAAGTGTTTATGACAATGTGAAGAGACGCCTTCAAACTACTTGACAACACTACTATGTAGTGACACGAGAATGAGAACATTCAAGTTATGATATGTTGGCCACAAAAAGATATTGAGAATGAGCCTCACAACTTGAAGTGTCTGGGACAGACCGTGAATTTGAGCAGAGCTTACCTTGTAAAGCAAACCAACCAAGCATCAATCAATGGCAGAGTCCAGAGAGAACAACTCAGAAAGAATAATTGAGCCAATGACGGAAATGGGGCAACACAGTGGTATTTCTGATCATAGCAAGAAGTTGAGAGAGAAAGCGATTTCTCCGAAATGAAGATAGAAAACGAAGACAACAAGAAGATAGAAGAAAATCAGAAAGCTCTTCAGAAATACAATTTGAAAATTATGAGATGTTGCACAGGTATCTAAAGTAAACCCCGGAGAGGAATGATCAAGTATAAGAAGATTGAGTTCGTCACTTTGAAGTCAAATAAAGATAGAATCGACATTTATGCATTCATGAGAACATTATTTGCATAAAAGAAAAAGCATTACACTAATACATTTAATTACATTCGTGTTTCATGCATAAACACATGGTTTTGATAGATCCTTCAGTGAAAAGAGAAGATGCAGGATGTTAAAATCCCGACAATTGAAAGGTAGAAGTTAAACATCAAATACAGGGAATTATGTTTAGAGAAACAGAACCTGAGGAATGCAGGGATCAATCCACAGAGAAAACATTGCTTTGAAGCGGGGCACGTGGATCGACCATTAAGTCGTTTTATGAAGTGAAATGAGAAAGATTTATCATTAAAATATGAAATTTGAGATTTTGAAAAATAAGAAAGGTTTCTTACCTAGTAAACAATCTAAGTCCTTTGGGCCATCAGTAAGGCTTTCGAGCATGATGATTAAGTCTTTCAGGTAATTTGTAAGCCTTCATCGAAGAGTAGTGAAGCAAACCCATCAGTAAGTCTTTCGAGCATGATGATGAAGTCCTTCGGGCCATCAGTAAGTCTTTCGAGCATGATGATTAAATCCTTCGGGTAATTTGTAAGCCTTCACCGAAGAATAGTGAAGCAAATCCATCAGTAAGTGCCATCAGTAAGTCTTTCGAGCATGATGATTAAATCCTTCGGGTAATTTGTAAGCCTTCACCGAAGAGTAGTGAAGAAAATCTATCAGTAAGTCTTTCGAGCATGATGATGAAGTCCTTCGGGTCATCAGTAAGTCTTTCGAGCATGATGATTAAATCATTCAGGCCATAAGTAAGTCTTTCGAGCATGATGATTAAATCATTCAGGTCATTTTTGAGTCTTTCGAGCAAGATAATAAATCTTTCGGGTTATCCATAAGTCCTTCGGGTAGGATGTTTTCACACCAAGGTGATAAGTCATTCGGGCTATTTTAAACCTTCTCGGAAGAGCGTTGGAACAAGCCATCAGATCATCAGATGTGGGAGGAAATTGAAGGTTCTCGAGTACAAAGAAAATGATCAATTGATTAAAAAGAAATGCGCACGATGAGTCATTAACCAATTCAAGGTCCCAGGAAGAGATAGGTTCAGATGGTAGTCGAGTCCAAGAAGATTCTTATATCTAGTTATTGCGAGACAAGCTCCCACAAGAGAAATGGATTCTCAAAGATTCTCTTAAATTCTAATTTTTTCGAGTATAATGTTTTTCAAATCTTCAAGCATACATTAATGAGTTGCAACTTTTGATTTTCAGGTTTAACCTTCGAAGTTGAGCCTTCATGAAAGAATAATGAAGCAGAATCACACCATAAGATTGTTCAAGTTCTACTCCCTGAAACAAGAGGGAGCGAACCCGTAGACAGAAGATTATTCGAGTTCTACTCCCTGAAGCAAGAGGGAGCGAACCCGTAGGCAGAAGATTGTTCGAGTTCTACTCCCTGAAGCAAGAGGGAGCGAACTCGTTGGTCGAAGATTGTTCAAGTTCTACTCCCTGAAGCAATAGGGAGCAAACCCTTTTTTTTAGAATACTGTTCGAGTTCCTTAATCCCTGAACAAGAGGGAGTGGACCCATCATTTGAAGATTTTTCAAGTTTCAGTTATCCCGAAGTAACAGTGGAGTGCTTTAATTTTTTAAAGTTCGTATTGCCGGACAAATTTGACCATCTATTGATCTTTGCTCTATTCTCGTTGCACGAAAATGAGCAAAGAGGGGCAGCTGTAGATGCTCGTTTTGTCCGGGCTTATAACAAATCGTTTGCAACCCGTACCCAAACCATTTGGAAGCCCAAATCAATCCAAAAACAACAGTATTATCATTCCAGCTGCTAGTCCACGTGGAGCCCTGTAAAATAAAGACAGTTATAAGGGGTTAATAAGCGTTATCAGGGGGACGATTCAAATGGCAGTTTTGGGAAGGGAAAATTGAAAAAGGGGACAATAAGAACATAAAAAGAAATCAGTTTACAGGGAGATAGGCATCTATCGTCGAGAGGGAGGAACCAGAGAGACTATTTTTTTTGAAAATCAAGGAAAGCACAAAAAAACCGGCTCCATTCGTCTCTTTTGTTTTGACACAATAGAGAAACAAAAAAGAACAGTACGTTCGAAAGAAAAAATGATGTAAATAGTGAAGTTCTTTCTCCTGCATTTGAATCAAGTACTGTAAAAACAGGGGCTTCTTTCCCCATTTTCGTAAGGAAGCAATTGTAATAGAGGGGAACGGAATAGAAACAATGGTAGAGCATTGAACCTTATGATTGTACAGAAACAGAGGATACAAGGCTTTCTTCATTTTTCCAGAAATACAGGTAATATAACATAATAATATTCGAAGGTCTTATCTCTATTTCTGTATATTTTTTCTAGTAGCCATAATTGCATTGCGAAAAGAAAATGAAGAAAGCAGGATAAGAGTCATCTTACCTTAGTTATTTGAGTCTATCGCCGGAGTAGATGTTGGGGTTTAACCTCCTCGTCGACCTTAGAATTTAGGGATCGTTTACATGTGGTGTAAGTGGAAAAGTAAAAAAATTGTAGGAAAAGTGAGATATTTTACCTCACCGTTGATTCCTTGTCGTAGGTTGCCGGCGAAGTGTGAGTCAAAGTGTCTAGAGATAAGCGATGGTGGTTTGGTTTCGAGAGGCATAGAGACTGTTTTTTTGGTCTTCTAGCAGTCGATTTAGCGAGCTTTAGTTTCGGGTTCGTGATCTAGAGAGAGAACCAAGGAACTTGGGTTGGTTTAGGGCTTTACCCGGTGCTTGAATGGTGGTCGTTTGGTGTATAGAAAACTTTGCCGAGAGATGGAGAGTGGAGAGAAAGGGAGGGAGTTAAGTGTTGTGCATATGTTCCACGTGAATGGGGTTTAGTTTTAGGTTTAATATTTATATTAAATATTTTGGGCTTTCTGTGTGAGATTTAGTTTAGGTTTAGTATAGTTAGATTATATATTAAATGTTTAGGGTTAATTTGTTTAAGGTCCTTGAAAGTTCACCATGTATTTATGCTTTAGTCACTGTTATCATGTTTTTTATTCTATTTCAGCTTTTAGGTGCCCTGATTAAGTAATTTCACCTTTTTTATATATTGGTTATCTATGTAAGCTTTTATTTGGAAATAATTAAGCTTTAGTCCTCCCAGATTCGAATGAATGTGCATTTAGGTCATTGAATTATTTTTGATTTTATAGATTTGATTTTTATATATTTGATTTTCATTTGAATTTAGTCATTTTTTAATCTATATATTTTTTAAATTTATAGTTTAGCATGTTATAACTTTTTTTTATATTTAGGTCACATCTGTACATTATACGTTAATATGCATGGTTTATAATTTTTAATTTTAAAATGTATGTATTTAATTTTTGTATGTCACGTTGTATGATATTTTTAATTTTGTTTAATTAATTTTGGCATGACATCCACTTTTTGCATAATTTGCATAATAGCCTCACGTGCATAACTCTACCTATTACATAATCGGACTAAGGGTAATACTCTTTTAATTTAAAATTGTCTTGAATGGCCTGTCTTAACTGATTAGATTGTCGTTATGACCATTTTAAATTAAAAGTGTATACCGAAAGTGAAACAAAAAAATTGATTCGTCACCTAAAATTTGGGAACAAAAGAAAAGGAAATGTTCGTTTATTTAAATTTATTGAGAAAAGGTTGTTATAGCTTTTAAGATCTGGTCTCGATATTTGTAAATAATCGAATATTCTTTATCTTTCTAAAACGACTTGGTAATTTTAATTTAATTTATTTGAGTGCTTTTGAATGTTTTTTTTCTTTCTTTGTTACGGGATCAGAAGCCAAATTAAGTTTGAATATGTAAAGTTCATTGCAAAGACGTTAATTAATCGACTAGGTACCGATTTAGGGCGCTGTGGGGGTGCTAATCCTTCCCCGCACGTAACCGACTCCCGAAATCGGATTTTGGTAACGTATTCCTTAATTTGTTGTTTTAATTAAAATTAGTTTTTATTTAAAATAACAAACATTTTTTGGGTGCCCAATCACACCCTAATCAAAGATTGGTGGCGACTCTTTGAACCGTATTTTTTCGATCGTAAAGGAAATCCAAAATTTTTTGAAATGAGAAGTTTTTAAATCACATTTTTTTAAAATTAAAAATCAATTGAAAGAGGTTAATTAAAAATTAACGTGTTTTTAAAATCTCACATTTTTCACCTTCAAGAAAAAAATCGTTTCGACAGATATATATATATATATATATATATATATTGTCGATATTAGTTTTCGTCCGAGTGTTATGTTAATATATATATATATATTATATGTATTAATATATTATTATTACAAATGGAGGCCCATTTACAAGAGGACAACCCGGTTACAAAGCAAATCACAGGCCCGGTTACAACCAAGCCCGATCCAGATTTGGCCCAACAACCCATCCATGCCCAGATCCAGTAGGCCCATGAGCAAACCCATCAGCTGCTAGGGTTTCACGTATGTCTCTCCAGCACCGCAGTTCTCCCAGCCGTTCGATTTCAACGCAGATCAAGGGTCCAGATCGAGCCAACAACAACCCTAGGGTTATCATTCTGCCGCCTCGGGTACTCCAATCGCCTGATTCCATGTCGTTGCCGCCTCTCCAGATCTCACCAGAGCACTCCAGAAGGCTCTAGAAGAGGATTACCAGCCACACACGTTGTAACCCTAGGGTGAGTCACCATCTCTGGTGACTCATCGAAGGGCACCCTTGTAACCGGTCTAAAGGATGCACTACCGAGCCCTATAAAAGGACTCGATCGATCCTACAAGCAAAAAAATACACAAGAACAACAGAGGAGAATACAACAGAGAGAGCAAGAAAGAGGAACTCACACAGAAGAGCAAAGCCAAGACAACAACCAACGAGCAGTATTCAAAAGCAAAGAGAAGAGAGTGAAGAAACTTACCATCGTCGAAGCCCAAAGGTCATCGGAAAATCGATTTTACCGAAGGTATAAATATTATATTTAGGCTTATTGAAGGATATTTAGCAAAAAAGGGGCTCGGATTCAAATAGAGGGGGTCTCGATCTTCATTTTAGTATAGTTTGGTATTTTCAGCCACCGTATGTGGTGGTTGGCGACAGCGGAATACGGCGACGTAAGGCTGACGGTCATTGGTAGCTATCCCTCAGGCGATGAATTTTTAGAGAGAGTTCAGAGCTTCTCTCTCCTTTGAGAAAGAAGCAAAACGAGGAAATGAGAGAAATGTCTCTCTTTAGGATCGGTTGGGGTGTATTTATGCCCTCCTCGAACGATGTCGTTTTGGGATAAGGGCTTCTGGGTAAATTCGCGTAGGGGAAAATCACATACGCAGTCCCCATGAGTTTGTAATCTTCCATTATAGTCACCAAAATCAGGTTTTTGTATCTTTTAATTTTGTTTTCGCATTTTAATTATTTTTATTTTAGTCATTATTATGTTTATATATATATATAGGTTAAAATTACTCATTTAATCCCTTAAATATTAATTATTTATATTTCGACTTATATTAGTAAATTAGGGTAAATTATATAATTAGTCCATAATTTTAGGATTATTTCGAATTAAGTTAGTTAATTTTAATATTTTATGTTTTAAATATTAATTATTAGTATAATTAATTAATATTAGTATTTTACTTTAGGATTATTATTATACATAATATATTAATTTAATTTATATAATTTTGATATTAAATATTATAATAGTGTTAATAATATTAATATTAAATATTTAGTATTTATATTAAGTTATTTAATTTAGAAAACAAATTTATCATTTACTGCAAAGACATTAATTAATAAATACCGGTACAAATTTTGGGCGTTATGGGGTATTAATCCTTCTCCATACGTAACCGACTCCGAACTCATTTTTCTGGTAAGCAGACCCGAGTTGTATTATTTTAATATGATTCTTAGGAATTTTTATTAAAATAATATGACTTTTTTGTGACTAATCTCACCAAATTAAAAGATTGGTGGCGACTCTACAACTTAGTGTTTCATCTGATTCATGAAAGATAAACACTTACTTTTTCGAGACTAATTATACCGTTTGGGGTGTACTATTTACACTCTCCGTCGTCAGGGTAGAGAAACGTCGACATATATAATTCCATTAAACTTTTTTGAGATTTACCAATATGCCTGCTACAGCAAGCATGGGAACTGAATTTAGTGCCAAATTATGGTCCTTAAGATAGAATGAAATCCCAGATAGTATACAGGCAAGGACCAATCCTGTTGAAGAAACCTATAATGAATACAAAAGCTTGGTCGATGAAAACGATTTGGCTAGGCAATTTAAGGACTTTGTGACTGTTCATTGCTTTAAATGTTTACCAGTAATAGAGGCTTTCTTCCTGCTTTATCAATCACATATGTGCAAAGGGCTGTAATCGGAAGCTGCATAAATGATTGTGTCAATCAGTTGTTTTCCAGGAAAATTTACATGGATATCGAGGAAAGGAGGAGATGAAACCTGAATAATAGCATAAACTATTGTCCCTGTACTGGAAGAAACTCCTGAGACATACGAAGTACAAAAGCAACAACGTTAACGATTGAATAGATTTGAGGCCAACAAACAATCAGGGTGTAACTCGAAAGGTTCCATTACCTGCGGACTCGAAAAGACTGCTGACATAAAAGCAGATCCCATTGATTCCTCCAAATTGTTGGAAGACTATTAAACCAACTCCTACCTGATCAAAGATAAATGAAACACGCTTTAATTAGGATTATTATAGTGAAAACTTGTAATTGCTAATGTTTGAAGATCGATTGTACTTACAACGACAGATCGTAAGTATCTTCGTTGAAACAAATCCAGCATCTTGGCTTTGGGGAGCCATTCAAGAGTCTCTATATAGTCCTGTCAAGCAAGAAAAATAACTTTTTAACTCATTTGTTAATGTTGGTTATGATGATAAGAGTTCAGATTAAGAACCCGAATCGCAGCTGCTTCCTTCGATATATCAGCATCCTTGCCACGAAGACTTTGTAGCTCAGATTCGAATTCTTTTTCATGTCCTATCTTTGCCTGCATTATATCCAAGATTTTTCAACCAGTTCCGTTTCATGTTACTATAATCTCAATGTAAAATAGGATTCCATATCACCAGCCATCTTGGAGACTCTGGAATGAAAAAGAGCCCAACATTGCAGAATTGCACAAGGAATGAGCCCTGCATTCACATTACTTATGAGTCCGGCTTGTGTCATCTAACTTTACAAACACGCTCACAAACACAGACATTCACGGTTTTTCCGAAGAATGTTGTGTTTCACCATGGTTACTTAGAATAGATGGATAAATCAATTTTACCAGCTAATGCTAATGTCCTCCAAGTTAGAACTGACCCTATTATGAATTAGACTGACACTCCAGTGCATATCATAAGCTGTAGGAATAAGATGTGAATTAATCAGACTAAGCTTTGTGCGTATTTCATTGGATTTTAATCTTTGTTATGCATTTGTATTGCACATTCAGACAATGGATGTCTATTAAGCTGATATTAAGATAACGTTACCTGGTTGACAGCCGTTAGTGCTCCTCGAAGATTCTTTGGCGCAATTTCTGCTATATATACCGGTACCTTGTCAAGAAAGGCATCATGGTCATCAATAAAAAGGTTTCAGGAAGGAACTCTAGAAGAGATTGGGAATCTCACAACATATGAGAAGACACCCATTCCATAGCCTGTTGCTAGTCTTCCAATGTCCAAAGATAAAGCACCCTTTTCGTTTTGATCAAAGACATCGAAAAAGGGTATCAAAATATTTCTGCATAACTGGTTAATTTGAAGATTAAGCAATGATAAATTCAGAGGTATCAGTAGTACAACCTTAGCAAAATAAATAGCAAGCCACCCTGCAACACAGAAGCCAGTAGCTGTTCTCATTGCCTGCACATAATTAGAGATGAACATAATGCTACATCATATAATTATCAATACCAAAGGAAAAAGAATTAGAAAAAATTACCACTTTCCGACCAATGAAATTTGCAATCGGTCCGCTCATGATTGCACCGATCATAGCACCGGAAGTCAGTATAGAACCAAACACTGAGTACTGCAATTCAAAGGTCAAATGCACCAGTTTTAATTTGCTAGATTCAACTGCAAGAAAAGGTTATTACTTATTAGAGTTTCAAAATATACACCTCTTCTAGTGTAAGAGAAAGATCTTTTGTAATTGCAGTCTGAGTAGGAGATGAAAAACCTGCCTGAAAACAATTTCAACATTTAATTACAACTCATGGAAGTAACCATTACAAGAAAAGCTCATTCTCAGGTGTAGAGAGAGTAGTGAGTGAGACTTATGCAGGATCCGAAGTCAAAGGATCCACAGACTACAACAATGGTGCTGAGGTAAACCATTCATTGACTAGCTTTGCTGCTTGTTTCATCGGACAAAATCTTCTGTTCTTGCAATAGTGGTATTCTTACATCTTCATACACATTGTTGCTACATTTCTCTACATCCTCTTTGATGGTCATGTTCTCTTTCTCTACTTAACTTCCTGGATATTGATGCAAATTAAACAGAGAATACGCTCGAAGCAAAGTCTTGAAAAGAAAAAGAAAACTGAATCTGATTTGAGGATGACAAAGTTCAAGGGAAGAGACACATGCTTCATGGGATTCTCTTAGTATTGCAGTTCTGATATATATGCAGTAAGTGGAGATCGGTCATTGTCCAAGAATCAAACACAAAAAGAGTAATTAATTGATGTTTTCTTTAGCAATGTTGACTTTTGAGATCAATCAAAACAGAGCCTTCTTCAAAGTCTAAGATCGATGGGATCATTGCTTGGCGATAAGTAACATTAAAATAACAACTGACGTGAAAAATAAGACAATTTGATCCGTTTCCCATCACATGGATTTGTTTTCATTGACCAACTTCTTGTTCATGGATGCACAAAGATAAAGCTACGATCCTTCTAGACGACAAAAAAATAATGAGAAAAGTCTGACTACAGACAATTTTTAATGCCATTCAAAGCAATGAGCTGTTTTTACTATTGTATAAATCCACTAGCAAACAACAAAAGAAAATAATATTTCTTGTTTTGGCACATAAAGCTTTCAACTTGTAAGATCTTCTGCATTGGGTTTAGACTCAAAACCTCAAACTTGTAATAATTTCATAGAAAGGAAAAAATGTTGAGTCTGTTAGACAACTACGTGACCACCCCTGCCAGACAAGGCAAGCTGAGAACGATACTCTGCGGTCAAGGTGAACCAGCAATGAGCCACCAGACCAGTAATCACGTTCCGATCACACATCCTCAGTTTGTCAACCTGTAAATTAGCATGAGGTAAGGGAGAAAAGAAAGACACAAAATTGAGTATCGTCTCAACATGTTGCAGTAACAGATGCAGAGTTAAATGGAAAAGGACAAGAAAAACATAACTGTAAATTAACCATTCTCTAACATTGCAAATATAAAGTGAGAATCAGAGACCACTTGAGGTTTGTTTCCTGGGCTATTTTATAGAAAACGACTAGCCAGGCCTTGCAAATAACTCTGCTGTGATCCTGCAACTCATCAGGAGCACTAATCTCCCATCTAAAACTGAAAAAGCATATGCTTGTATAATTGTTGATGAAATGGTAAGAATTATAATAAATAAATCTCACCTATTTAATGTATCCACAATACGCTGAAGCTCTTGAGGTTCATAATGCACCACAAAACAACATGAAATCACATAAGATAGATTTTGTAATAAAAGCCTATTAGGGAGAAGAAAAAAATTGCGGGCGAGTCTGTCAGACAACTGCGTGACCATCCCAGCAAGGCAAGGCCTGCTGAGAACGATCCTCTGCGGTCGAGGTGATCCAACTATGAGCCACCAGACCAGTAATCACGCTCTGATCACACAGCCACATTTCATCAACCAGACTTGGAATCCTGTCTCCTTAGAACTCAAGGATACAGAGGTACGAGCCTATAGAACAGATCCTGTTCAAGTAAGGTCGTGCCCTTTGTTCTCCTGGTTACAAGTTAAATACCGTTTAGCTTTGTCTTTCCTTACTAATGTGGGATATTGTTCAGGTTCTGACAAAACAGTCGCTGTTTTAACTTACACGTGTCTTCCATAATCTCAGGCTGCCACAATGAATAGGATGCATTGCAACTTGCATGATCTGAGTTGGGCTTAAGTTCAAGACCTCTATTTCTTTAAGAAAATATTAGGTCCAGAATTTATTTATTCACAGAAACAACGCATAGAGATAGAAATGAGTCAGCTGGGTCAACATAATCCAACAGTTCTATAGATAAGAGCTTCTTTCAATATTAATCTTTTAACACTAATCAATCTTCTGTTTGAAATAAAAGCTACAAATAAAGAAAAATAAGGGAAGGGTATTCCATAGAAAAGTTGCGTAGTTTTTAAGATGTAACAATCTTCAATTACTTAAGGATTTTGCTTAGATCTGTATCTCTAAAAAGCATGGTTTTGGTAGATTCGTTCAGTTGTATTGATGACTGCAAATAGCTGGTGTTTAGTATTATTGTCTGGCTCTAAATTTTTTAAAATGATTAAGCATACTCATATGAGCAAGTAATAGTAGAAAATATTGGATGTAGAATAATCATTTGAATGAAGGTTTTGTTATATTTGGGTGATTGGAAATTGGTGAGATATTATGAAATTGTGGTCCTCATTTATCCACAGGCAGTACGAGTTATTTAAGTTTATAACTCACTGCGAGAGTTGTGTCAACGTGCAAAAGGAACACCTGGTTAAAAGATTGGGAGGTCTATCAGACAACTGCATGACCACCCCAGCCAGACAAGGCAAGCTGGGAACGATCCTCTGCGGCTAACGTAATCCCAACGAGGGGAAACCCAGACCAAAAATCACGCTCTGATCACACAGCCTCAGTTCATCAACCAGACCCGGAATCCTGTCACCTAAGAACTCAAGGATACAGAGGTACTTGCCTATAGAACAGTTCCTGTTCAAGTAAGGTCATGCCCTGTGTGCTGCTGGCTTTAACTTAAATATCGTTTAGCTTTGTCCTTTCATCCTAATGTGGGATATTGTTTAGGTTCTGGAAAAACAGTCGGTGTTTTAACATATACATGTATTTTACAATTGTGAGTTAAAACATTATGAGTAACTTAAGATTGGTGAGAATCAAGCTTTAAGTAATAAGTGGTTAAAATTTTGTGTTTGTATTTTTATGTAAAATTCTCAAAATCATAAAATAACAACAACAAAAGAACCTTGTCACAATAGGCTGTTTAATTCTTAGACTTCACCTATATTGAATTATTGATTCGAGCAAATCATGAAAACAAAAAGGTATAGGGGATGTTTTGTAAAAGTAAGAATCAGAATTAAATAATCGGATCGATTCAGATTTAGATCTTGATTATTAGAGTCTAAATATATTTTTCAGGTTTAGACAAGTAACTGGACCCTTGGATAAAATAAATAGAGATGAAATGGAAAGGGTGCATACGTAGGTGGATGAAAGAGACGAGACGTGCAAAAGGAATAGTGGTAAATGCAAGTGCAACGATGGCCTAACCCATTTTGCCTGGCAGCCTGAGAAATGGGGCAATTTTCCCAATAAATCACCGGTGATCGGTATATTTATCGATCTAACACCGGTCAGATTATATTTTTCGATTTAACACCCGTAGCAGTAAAGTACGGCCCCTAAACCACGCTATACGCTGATTTGGCGCCACGTGGGTATAGCGCGCCCTCTGTCCCGCGACATACGGTGATTTGACGCCACGTGGGTATAGCGCGCCCGCGCCCCCTGATCCGTGCTATACCTGCGTATCTGACACGTGGGGTATAGGCGCGATGCAGGGGGTGCAGTGTCACGGACTTAGCCTAGTTGGTTCGGTTGCTAATCCGTGTGGCACTCGAAAGGGACGCTTCCCAACCAAGTCAGCCTTAATCTCGTAGATCTGATCAAGCATAAACAAACATCGCGTTAGATCTTTATAGCCACATGGTCCTTCGACCAATAATCCGAGCCCGTGGGGCATAGCGGATGCACACCTCAACCCCCGGACTTCTCCGAGAGAAAAATATTTTTATTAATAAAAGAAATATCGGGTTACAGAAGACTCACCCACACCACCGATTAGGCCGTAGGGGCGGCCCTCGATGGTGTTCACAAGACACGTACCTTTACCTGTGGATCAGCCCAAACTCTGCCGGCTGTCCACCCCCTACATATATGCGAAAACAAAATAACAGAAATGCTACCTATAGACGTTGAAATGCTCGAACAGGGGACAGTAAGTCATACCCCTACTCCCTACCTAAAACATTAAAATGCTTGAAAAGAGGACAAGCTTGTTCTACCCTGCCACTAGGCCCTATACATGGTTGGCCTTGGCGTACCTACCCGGTTGTGGCCCCATAAAAGGGACGGTCACGACAATCTCCCCCACCTAATTTGTCGACGTCCTCGTCGACTGCTTGGCCTGAAACTCTTCAATCTGTTGCTTAAATGCCCTGAGATCATACTCTCTTTCCCAAGTGTTCTCTTCCTGATCAAAGCCTCCCCACTTGACTAGATACTCCCGTCTTTGCTTTCCATCCACCTTAACAATTCTCCCTGCTAGAATCTCGTCAACATGACGCTGTGAGGGTGGTTGTGTGCCGATTGACTCCCTGGCAGACATACTCTGATTATCGATATTGGGATCGGTGTGAAACGGCTTCAAATTGCTCACATGGAAGACAGGGTGAACTCTCATCCAAGTAGGAGGGTCAACTTTGTACGAAGCATTCCCCACCTTTGCTACTATTGAGACTGGACCCTCGTACTTACGCACCAAGCGACGATCCCTCTGGCGTAAAAATCTAAGTTGTTCTGGCATCAACTTGTCTAGCACCAAATCTCCAACCTGAAAGTGTAGGTCTCGCCTGTTACGATCTGCGCATTTCTTCATACGCTTCGTTACTTTCTCTAAGTAAGCCTTGGCAATCTCCATATTCTGCTTCCACTCCCCCACAAAATTTGAGGCACGAGGGCATCTACCTTGAGAGGTCTCATCCACAGTGTGAGGAAGTCTTGGCTGCTGACCTGTCACCAGTTCAAAAGGGCTTTTATTAGTAGACGAACTCTTTTGTGAATTAAAACATAATTGCGCCACATCCAATAATGGAGGCCAGTTCTTTTGATTGGCCTGAATAAAGTGCCTCAGGTACTCCTCTAAGAGTCCATTAAATCGCTCAGTCTGACCATCTGTTTGAGGGTGGTAACTCGACGAAAAGTTGAGTTGTGTCCCTAATAACTGGAACAATCCTTTCCAAAATTTCCCAATAAATCTTCCATCTCGGTCACTGACTATGCTCTGAGGAATGCCCCAATATTTCACCACATGTTTGAACACCAACTTAGCAGTCTCTTCCGCCGAACAATACTTTGATGCTGGTATAAAAGTGGCGTACTTCGAGAACCTGTCCACTACCACCAAAATTGATCCCAGATCTCCTACTCGAGGCAAGCATGATATAAAATCCAAGGAGATACTCTCCCAAGGTCGGGCGGGTACAGGTAGTGGCTCGAGCAACCCAGCAGTCTCTGTCGATCTACCTTATCTTGTTGACAGATAAGACATGTCTTGGTGTAATCCATCACATCTTGGCGCATTTGAGGCCAATAATACCCTTGTCCCAACAAAGCAACAGTACGCCTCCAACCCTGATGCCCGGCCCATGGGGTATCATGACATTCCTTCAACAGCTTCTGTCGTAGGTTTCCAGCTCGAGGAACAAACATTCGTGGCCCTTTTGTCATCAATAAGCCATTTTCTATCCAAAAACATTTCGAAACACCCTTTTTAACCATCTCCATAAGGGCCTCCACTTGCGGATCTTGCTTGGAAAAGTTCACAAGGAGCTGACGAATTTCATTGGACACTCTACTAGCGGATATAGGGGCCACACATCGGAGTGCTGCCAAATCTGCCCTGCGACTCAAAGCATCAGCAACCTGATTCTTTTCCCCGCCTTATGCTCAAAGTTGAAGTCAAACTCGGCCAGAAACTCTTGCCATCTAGCTTGCTTTGCTGTTAGTTTCGGTTGTGTAAGGAAGTGGCTAACTGCTGTATTATCGGTCTTTACCACAAATTTGGAACCCAACAAATAATGCCTCCAAATCCTCAAGCAATGAATTACTGCGAGAAGTTCTTTCTCTGGAGCCGTATATCTCGCTTCAGTTTCATTTAGCTTCCTACTCTCAAACGCCACGGGATGTTTGTCTTGTAAGAGTACGCCTCCAATTGCATAGTCGGATGCGTCTGTCTACTACTAGAGGTTTTTCCAGGTCTGGTAAGGTAAGCATTGGTTCACTGATTACAACCTTCTTTAAATCGTCAAAGGCCTCTTGACAGTCCTTGGACCAAACCCACTCGCAGCCTTTCTTCAGCAAATCGGTGAGTAACTTTACTCTACGAGAATAACCTTCTACGAATCGTCTATAATAATTGGCCAAACCAAGGAAAGATCTAAGCTCACTAACATTTTGTGGGGTCGGCCACTCCTGGATAGCCTTCACCTTCTCTTTATCCATACGAATGCGCCCTCGTTCAATGATGTGGCCCAAAAATTGGACTTGTGTTTGGGCGAAAGCACATTTCTCCTTCTTTACAAACAACCGATTTTCCCGTAATCTCGTCAGCACCAACCGAAGATGCTCCAAGTGCTCTTCTATCGAATTGCTAAAAATCATTATATCGTCCAAGTAGATGACTACGAATTTATCGAGATAGTCATGGAACACCTGGTTCATTAAAGTGCAGAAAGTAGCGGGAGCATTGGTTAGTCCAAAAGGCATAACGAGAAATTCAAATGCTCCATACCGAGTTACACATGTCGTCTTTGGCTCATCCCCTTCGGCCACTCTCACTTGATGGTATCCCGACCTGAGATCCAACTTCGTGAAATACTTAGCATTACTCAGCTGGTCGAACAAATCAGCAATCAACGGAATGGGATATTTATTCCTGACAGTCACTTTGTTTAATGCTCTATAATCAACACATAATCTCAAACTCCCATCATGTTTTCTCTGGAATAACACAGGTGCCCCGAAAGGTGACTTCGAGGGTCGAATAAATCCTGCTTGGAGCAACTCATCCAACTGTTTCCTCAACTCTGCCAACTCCGGAGGACTCATCCGATATGGGCATTTCGCAGGAGGTTTTACTCCCGGAATTAATTCAATCTCATGGTCCACCAACCGTCTAGGGGGCAACTCTTTCGGCAATTCACCCGGCATTACATCCTCAAAGTCTCTCAGCACTTCTTGAACATTCCTGGGCACCAGGCCAGGATTGTCATCCTCTTTGGAAATTGGAAAGACTAAGAAGGAGGGCTCCCCTTTTTTCACCCCTCTCTTAAATTGGATAGCGGACAATATCTTCTTCCCAGGACGAGGGAGAATCGTAGCTGGTACCACACATGGCTGCTCCCCATGAACATTAACAACTTGATGCCGGAACAGGAATCACCTGGGATGCCATCATAAAATCGAGCCCTAACACCACGTCAAAATCATCCATATGGGAAACAGCGAAATCTACACTTCCTTCCCAAGACCCAAGCTTGATACTGACCCTCTTCACACCTCCACATATCATTGAAGCGGCAGAGTTAACTGCTTTCATTTGTCCCACCTCCTTGGTTACAATCAACTTACATCTCTCCGCTTCCTCAGGAGAGAAACGTATCTGTGGCCCCTGTGTCGACTAGAGCTTTAGAGGTTTTCCCATTTACTGAGATGTCCACATACATCAATCCTCTCTGGTTCTTTCCTCAAGTTACTCAACTGAGACTGTAATGCAGTTATGAATCGGATGGAGCCCATTCTAGCCGGCTCAGGCTCAGTATCTCCCATCGGAGCGTTCACTCTTTCTCCGTCCTTGTTGTTGCAACCATGGCATTAAAAGCACTTCGTTGTGGACACTCTGCAACCCGATGAGGTCCATTGCAAAGAAAACACCTTAACGAGGGTCTATTCCCTCCATTGCTCGATCCAGGACCAGTAGGGACTTTATTTTGAGCTGGGTCCCTTCCAGGGACTCTTCTATTTGCTCCCCAACTCGATGTCTTCTCCCCTCAAGCCAACTTGTTCCCGCTAACCTGTTGGGTGTTAGCTCCACTCACAGAAGGCGTCTTGCGCTTTCCAGGATGATCGTTATAATCATTAAGGCACTCGGCAGCAGCTATCGCTACTGTCAAATCTTGAACCTTCTGTCTCTGCAACTCGAGTCTAGCCCATGGCTTGAGCCCTTCAAGAAAATGAAACAACTTATCTCTTTCTGACATATCCTTTATATCCAACATCAAGGTTGAGAACTCTCTCACATACTCCCGTATAGTCCCAGTGTGGGATAATTCCCTTAGCTTCTTACGAGCGTTGTAATCAACATTCTCGGGGAGGAAGGAGGTCTTCAACTCTTCTTTAACGCATCCCAAGTAGTAATGGAGCACACTCCATCTTTGAACTTGGACCGCCACCATAACTTGGCGTCACCACCTAGATACATCGAAGCCATTGCCACCTTATCTTCCTCAGACTCCGTGCGCATAGCCCGAAAATACTGCTCTATGTCAAATAAGAAATTCTCAAGCTCTTTAGCATCCCTCGCTCCATCAAAGCGTTGAGGATCAGGGATCTTGGCTCGTATGCCCACTCTTTCAATAGGGTTTGCGGTCAAACTAGCTACCGCTGCCTGAAGCACACTGACTTGAGCCTTCAGCTCATCATACCCAAGTTGTATCACGCCTATGGCACCTCTTGCCTCATTGCCCAAATCAGTCACTGTCTCAAGCAAATCTTCTTGGGTCTCCTCTACTCTCCTCATACGATCACCAGATATCATATGAGCTCTAAGGGCAGCTAGTGCGGCTTCGATCTCTTCTAGCTTCCGTCGATCAACCGAACCAGTCTCTTGTATAACTGGCTCGGTAGCTTCCTGCTCTACACCTCTGTGAGAGCTTGTAGATCCGCCATTTCGTGTGCGAACCATTCTTGTAACTCGTTGGCACCCCTATGCCTGCAACACAAATAAGCACAATCGTGCCTAAATTAGGAAGGAAAAGAGCACCGCTGTGCTGAATCCATAGCACCTCTGTGCTAGAATTAACGATTGAGCACCTCTGTGCTTCAATCGAGAGCTGACACCTCTGTGTAGCCAAAAGTGATTGAGCACCTCTGTGCTTCAATCGAGAACTGACACCTATGTGCAGTTAAAAAAAATTGACTGAGCACCTCTGTGCTTCAGCGAGCTGACACCTCTGTGTAGCTAAGATGATTGAGCACCTCTGTGCTTCAATCGAGGACTGACACCTCTGTGCAGCCAACTATGACTGAGCACCTCTGTGCTTCAATCTAAATTCTGGCACCTCTGTGCATTGGAATGATTGCACCTCTGTGCTACAATCTAAAATCAAGCACCTCCGTGCTTTTACAAATGACCGAGCACCTCCGTGCTGCGGCCTGAGGTGAAGCACCTCTGTGCTAGGTTTAGCACTTGTGCACAGCTGTGCCACAAGCAGGTAACAAGCACTATTATGCTTTACTCAACAAAATGAGCACCTCCGTGCTTTTAGTAAATGAACACGCACCTCTGTGCTCTGATACCAAGTGTCACGGACTTAGCCTAGTTGGTTCGGTTGCTAATCCGTGTGGCACTCGAAAGGGACGCTTCCCAACCAAGTCAGCCTTAATCTCGTAGATCTGATCAATCATAAACAAACATCGCGTTAGATCTTTATAGCCACATGGTCCTTCGACCAATAATCCGAGCCCGTGGGGCATAGCGGATGCACACCTCAACCTCCGGACTTCTCCGAGAAAATGTTTTAATAAAGAAATATCGGGTTACAGAAGACTCACCCACACCACCGATTAGGCCGTAGGGGCGGCCCTCGATGGTGTTCACAAGACACGTACCTTTACCTGTGGATCAGACCCAACTCTAAAACATTAAAATGCTTGAAAAGAGGACAAGCTTGTTCTACCCTGCCATAGGCCCTATACATGGTTGGCCTTGGCGTACCTACCCGGTTGCCCCAAAAAGGGACGGTCACGACACGCTATACCCCTATACCGGCCCCTCCATCTCCCTATAAATACTCTCATCCTCAATCACTTTTTCACACCAATTTCTCTCAAGTACTCTCTCTTTTTAAGGTATTTTATAATATTTTTACTATTATGTATTTATTTTTAATATTTACTAATATAATTCTTTTACAGATATATAATGGAAGGCAAGCTACTTCGCTAAGATGAAAATCATATATCTCTACACTTGCTGATACGGTAACATTTAACGTTTTAATTAATTTAAATTATTAATAATATTAGTTGATTTATTTTGCATGATTGATTTAGATTAAGAATATCTCGATTTTTGATACGGTAACATTTAACGTTTTAATTAGTTTAATATTAGTAAATTAGTTTTATTTAATGCGTGATTATTAGATTAAGAATTAAATATCTCGACACTTGCTGATACGGTAACATTTTAACGTTTTAATTTTTAATATTAGTAATAATTAGTTGATTTATTTAATGCATGATTATTAAGAATTAATTTTTTAATTATTTTTTTAGGAGAAGGACCCGTGTATTAGATCATTATTAGGAATCTTAAGTAGTGATACCCAGCCGTGTCTTGCCGTATTTAGTAGAGGATGGATTCGGTTACATAGGTAGATATCAGGGTCACTGTAAGATAGAGACAGTAGTAGCGGTGGAGGCCGGAGACCCACACATTTCATCTTCCGTGCAGAGAGTGCACGATCACGCTTGAGGATGTTTCTATGCACCTGGGGCTTCCAGTGGATGGAGATGTGATATCGGGTATAGCTTCCGGTTCTTGGACTACTTTGTGTCAGGATAGTCTAGGACGTCCCGGAAAATTTATCGGAGGTAGGATATCGTTAATTGGTTAGATGCCAATTTTCGGGAGTTGAGCGCAGACGCCTCTGAGGATGAGGTTAAGATGTATGCACGGGCATGCATACTGCAGCTGATAGGAGGGTTGCTGATGCCGGACAAATCGTGCAACCTAGTTCACTGCATATGGTTGCGACATCTTAGCGACTTTCGTCTCGTCGGATCATTCAGTTGGGGCTCGGTAGTTTTGGCTTTGCTGTACAGGGAGATGTGTGGAGCCACTGACTACAGACGTAATGCTATCGGCGGATGTCTCCTGCTGCTGCAGTCTTGGGCATGTTATCGATTGCCCTTTTTATGTCCCGTTGTGAAGAACTCATTCGTATTTCCACTACTTCTGAGGTCATTATAAAACAGATTTCGTATATTAATAATTTTATACAGCGTATAAGAACTTTTTTTCCTTGAATAGGTGGTCTACTGATAGGAAAAATCATCAGGAGCTACCTAATGATTTAGAAAAATTTAGGATGTTAATCGATCAGAAGGCTGGCATATAGGTATGAATTTTAATGTTTAAAAATCGATTTTAGATTATAGTTATATAATTAGATTATTATTTTGATAAAAATTATATATTATTTGTTTTAGTTTGAATGGGTGACATATTCTACTGATGATGTGAGGGCGGTGATCCCACCTGAGTTGAGGGGTCTATCAGATGGTTGGATGGCGATGGTCCCTCTGGTCTGTTATGCGACCTTCGAGTGACACTCCACTGATCGCGTGCTCCGGCAGTTTGGTTGTTTTCAACCAATTCCGGAAGCACCTCACAATATGGACGAGTTGCATAGCTTAGATAGACGCGACAAGACAAATACAGATTGGTTGGTGGGGCATCATGAGTGGGTCGTGTTGTGGGAGGATCGACATCGGTGCCTTCCACGTAGAGAGTCCATTTTTACTGACTTCTTGATGTATGCTGAGGATTATTATGAGTGGTTCAACAGTAACGGGAAACCGTTTCTACTTCCCGAGGATGCACGAGGGCAGACTTTTCCACGACGTCGATAGAGACGTTCACCGATACAGCATCATCGTCCCCCGACTCGTGGACGGAGAGCAGGTACTTCCGGTTCATCCTCAGCTACACCAGCAGGACCTTCTCAGCAACCACCGCAACCATATATGATGTCGCAGCCATATATGATGCCACCATCGCCTTTCCATTACCAGATGTCGCCGTCGCCGCCTTCACCTAGTTTTATGACCCCGCCACCGCCACCGTCACCGCCACAGATGACCCCTCATGGATGCTATTATGGGTCTATATTTGCAGATCCGACTTGGGGTTCATATACTGGATATTTGGTGGGTTCAGCCTCATCACCCATGGCCGCAATACAGACACTTCCTGTACAGTTTTCACACTCAGCGATATCTGGGTTTTCCCGGTTTTTGTAGGCCGGTGGGATAGTCAGTCATACACCTTCAGGGTCCTTATTCTATGGAGGTGCTTCATCGTCATCAGCTCCTCATCAACCTAATGTACATGCTCAGGACGATGACGACGACGATGGTGACGACGAAGACGATAGTGACTACGACGACGACGATGGTGACGACAACAACGACGATGATGATGACAACGAGGAGTCAGAACCAGTGATACAAAGAAATCCTCCTCGAGACCGACAGCCAACGCCCTGCGGAACACATTCGCGACGCAGGCATCGATAGAATTTTTTTATTATATTTGTATTTACTTTATTTTGTTTAATTGTAATTTTTTATTATTTCTCATTTAATACTTACTTTATTTTGTTAAATTTGTTGGAGTTTTTTTAATATAGACAGACATCGCACGTTCTGTCCTTTAGATTTACTCTTAACGACACAGCTTCAATCCCTTGAAGAGGTCACGGTAACTCTGTGACATGAAACATTTCATGTCTTCTAGAGAAGCTTGTTACAGACATTCCATTTGATGCAACAATTTTTTTCTGTAGATCTGCAACTAATCTAGGGTGATAGACATGACCGCCTTGCATCTAGGTTTGAGCTTGTCCCCCGAGCTTCGCAAAAAGCGCCCCCAAACAAAAATATATAGTTTTTACCAAAGCCGCTACAGGTAAGTGACGTGCACCCTTTAAGGTTGAATTGATTGCCTCAACCAAGTTGGTCGTCATGTGTCCATATCGATATCCACCATCATATGCGTTCGTCCACATTTCTTTATCGATGAGGCTGATGTAATCGTATCCTTCCTTCCTCGTTCTTCGCCCGCAAATCTTGAAGCATTGATTCAAACGTTCGAGGAAGTAGTTCGTAACCTGATCAAAAAATGTATAACTTACTAACTTACTTTCTTTGCAAAATTAAAATGATCAAAAAATGTATAACTTACTAACTTGCTTTCACTTACCCATGCGCACAATTAATTGACGCTCATCATTCTTCTTGTACCTTCCATGATAGTTCGCAGCAATGTGTCGGAGATAATACCTATGTTGGACAAAGGGTGGTTGCCACATTGGACCCAAAGACTCCATTGCTGCTTTGATAACATGTGCACGTAAATTTCGGAGGAAAAAAGCCCAAGAATCTGTATCTTCTCCTTCGACAAGAGCAAAAGCAACTGGAAGAATGTTGCGATTGTCATCTTGGACAACTGCCAATAATAAAACTTGCTTGTATTTTCCATACAAGAAAGTCCCGTCGATTTGGACCACGGGCTTGCATTATTTGACAACATTAACGCACTGTGGGTAACTCCAAAAAACCCGGAAGAATTTGCATCGATCGCGAAGAACTCGATCATTATGCATAGGAGGTTTCAAAGTCCACAATTGTCTCAGGATTCAACGTCCGCACCAGCCTAAACCAACCTGGAAGTTCATTGTAAGATGCATCCCATTCGCCATGAAGTTTGACAATGGCATTTTGTTTTGCCAACCAAGCTTTTTTTATAGGAGACGATGTACCCATACTGCGATTGTATAGCTGAAATCAACACTGCAACAGCTATATGAGAGCTTGCTTTTACCATGGGCATGATGGCTTGGCATATCACTTCAGAGTCCAAGTTGGGATGATCTTGGTTGACCCCTCCAGCACAACATGTGTGAGGACCGTTATATACTGTTAGTTCCCATATGTTATTTTTCCTCTTCATTTTCGATACGCGAACCATCTAATTGCATCCATTTTTGCGTCGGGCACAGTAGCATACATATTTTTCGGTCGTCGATCGGTTGACTCTGGACTGAACAGAATTATGGATATTTTAATTTTTGATAGTCATCATCACTTCTTCTTTGCTTGAAAACTTCATGCCTAAAGATAACTCATCATTATTTATTGATGATTAATATCCATAGTCATCGAGATGTGGCATATCCGCAAATTCTGGCCCGTACATTGCACCATAATCAGCTTCATACATGTGTGTAGGAGGGTCAGTTTGTGCCACATTTCCTGGAACTTCATCATCATCGGAGTTGAATTGTGGTGATTCTGGGTGAATGAATAGTCTAGTCTCAGCACCATCCACACCAAGCTCACGAAGCGGTTCTTCTGGTGGAGATGATGGTTCCTCCATGCTCTCCACATTTAGGCCGAAGAACCTACTACTTGCACGCCTTCCCCTTGAACTGGAAGGCATATCGACATTGAGATTGAAAAAGCTCGCAATCGAATGCCTCCCCTGGAGCTTGAAGTCATCGTGTCAAATGGAAACTGCACAGATGGTTGCGTCGATGGCATCTCCATATGGTCAAAGAAATTTGCAGATGAATGCCTTCCCCTTGAACTGGATGCAGTGTTGCCACACGTTGTTCGTGGACCCACCTCGGTACATATCGTAAGGAGTTGCGGATGAATGTCTCCCATTATGGCATTAAAATCATTACACATTACTGTAGTCGGGCTGTCAACTTGTTCAGCCAGCCCATAGTGTGAGCTTAAAGATTGACCCCGAACAGCACGCACTTAAACAAAATGTGCATACATCTCAATAGCGGCATCTGAATAATTACTTTGAGCTTCAACCATCATTTGAACATCATCATTGTTCGAAAGTTCGAACGCTGTATAAGTTAATGGCAACAATGATGTTGGAAATCTGTACTGTAACGACGACATTCTTCTATTACTTCAAACATGAATCTTCCTCGAAATCTTCGTTATCAGCTCCTCAAGAGTTATGTTTCTCTTGAATGATATTTTAACACGCTCATTTGATACGAAAACAACGCCGGTTTCATCTTCTCGAATTTCACCATCATAATAAACAATAGTTGTAAGTCGCGCCATTCTTTGAGTTTAAAAGTGCTGCAATATTATATCTGCAAAAAAATAACTTAAACAAACATGTTTAAATAAATTATATATAAACGAAAATATAACACAAAATTTTTTTTACACATCAACGTAAATAATTTAAATAATATAATTTTATATTATTACCTGCACCGCAAAACTATTTCGACGTATGCTCCCGCTTTCTAATTTTACAAACATAAAAAGTAATTGAAAATAATTAGTATAATATTTTTTTCAAATAATGATAATAAACAATAAGTATAATTAAAAAATTATAACAAAATTACCTCATAACGAAAAATCGCACGAACTTCTAAATCAAATATGAGAAAATTGCCAGAATTATTACTTGTTGACGGAATTGTTGTATTAATTTATAAGAGAGGATAGATTCAGGAGATGTGAGGAGAGATGCGATATTTATAAACATATAAGGTGCGGTACCAGCACCGCGTTATATGTAATTATTATATAGCGCGGATCAGGGACCGCGTTAAATATAATTTTGGTACGGCGTATAGCGTGGAGCAGGAGGCGCACTATACCCCACGTGTAACCCAGTCAGCGTATAGCGCGATACAGGGGCGCGACATACTCCACGTGGCGCCAAATCAGTATATAGCGCGGTTCAGGGCGAGCGCTTTACTGCTACGGGTGTTAGATCGAAAAATATAATCTGACCGGTGTTAGATCGGTAAATATACCGATCACCGGTAATTTTTAAGGAAAATCGCCGAGAAATGACACGTCATGATATGTAATCTCATAAAAGTACGTACCCAAAGACGACTAAGATAATATGTTTTATTCTGGTTTCCTTTTATTTTTTATTATCATTGTTTTAGATTTGTATTGTTGTTGATGATATTAATTTCAGATAGATTATCGATTGTTAGTTTTTTTAATTCTTTTTTCTTTGGTATATTTTTTTATAATCTGAATTATGTTAATTTTTTTTAATTAGTCTTCCTTTCTTCCAATGTTGGATTTGATGTCACCTCTTTATATTTAGATTTCAATGAGGTTTATTTAATTATCATGTTGATCTATTATTACTTTGAACCTTTGAATCGGATATTGATAAGTATTCACAATTATCAAATATATACGTCACGTTTGAGTTGCAGTAATACTAATTTAATATGCTTCATAGTTGATAATGATGTTTGTTTATATATATATGATTTATCTAAATTATTTGATTGAATTTTAACTTTTTTATAATTTTTTATTATATCTAGATGATTAGTTTATACACGGATAAATTTAGAAAAAAAATATTTAACTTATATAATTAACAATTAATTCTTGTTTTTTTATATTCTTCGTATGTTTTTAAATATTTTCTTTTTGTTTTATAAAATTAACTATTACCACAAATAAAAAAATATTTTGTTTTGCTTCTCATTCTTATATTAATTAATTAATAGAGCAAAAATCCTTATGTTAGACCTCTCAGCCGGTCAGTTTCGTGGCTCGTGGCGTATTAAATTGCTTCTTCTTCCCAACCTACCTAGGAATGTTCACCGGTATGGTCACATGATGTCTGCTTCGAACCACAGTCTCTTACCTGTTGACATGTCACCCGAACCTGGCTCTTACATCCCACGTAGGTTCGGACAACCGTTTATTATCGAACCTACCAACAATAAAGAAACAAAATCAGAAGAGTGAAAAAACAATAAACAATAATACCAAACTAATAAAATAAAATAAAACATAGATATACTCACGCCATTCGTAACTTGCCAGTACCGTTAATCAGTGTCGGAAGAAATAAGCGGTGAACGTTCTACATCTTCTCTTAGAAGCCAAAATCATGAAAAAGTAAACCCAGAAGAGCAAAACAGAGAAGCAAGCAATAAAAGAAAGTGGACTCAGAAGCAAGAATCCAAAAACCAAGTCTTTCATCTTTTTTTCTGGTCTTTTGCTTCTTTTTCAAGCCAAACCTTTGCTTTCTTTTTTATATAAATCTTTGACACTGATAGTTTCGCCATTAAAAGCTTTCACGGTTTGTGTCCCACGAAAATCCCACCTTCGCCAACCCAGAAGTTTTCTCTTTTTGTTCTTATATAAACTGTCTCTTTGCTTTACTGGGAAACTCGAGTTTTTAGCAATGGGTAAACAAGGAAGAAGAATGAAGATGGTTGCTCTGTTTTTGGTTGTTCTGTTTCAATGTAAATTCTTGGCTGTTGCAATTTTAGACCCACTTGATTTTTTGGCTTTACAGTCCATTAGGAAGTCTCTACGTGATTTGCCCGGCTCTAATTTCTTTGCTTCGTGGGATTTTACCTCTGATCCTTGTAACTTCGCCGGAGTTTACTGCGATTCCGATAAAGTAATAGCTCTTAATCTGGGTGACCCGCGTGCTGGTTCTCCGGGTTTAACTGGAAGAATAGACGCTTCCATTGGGAAACTATCAGCTCTCGCCGAGTTATCTATTGTTCCGGGTCGGATCTATGGATCGTTGCCGCAGTCGATCTCGCAATTGAAGGAGCTTCGATTTGTAGCGTTCAGTCGGAATTTCATCTCCGGGGATATTCCGGCCACTCTCGGCCAATTGAGAAGTCTTAAAACGCTTGATCTCAGCTATAATCAGCTCACCGGAGAAATCCCTCGCTCCATTGGAACCTTGCCGGAGCTTACCAACGTTATTCTCTGTCACAACCACCTCTCTGGTTCGGTCCCTCCATTTCTCTCCCAAGTCTTATCCCGGCTGGACCTCAAACACAATGCACTCACCGGTTCGCTCGCTCCCGACTCTCTCCCTCCTTCGCTCCAGTCCCTCTCCCTCTCCTGGAACCAGCTGACCGGACCGGTGGACAAGGTCCTATCCCGGCTTGATCAGTTAAGCTACCTAGATTTAAGTTTAAACCAGTTCACCGGTGCCATCCCCGGCCGTCTGTTCTCGTTTCCCATTACGAACCTCCAGTTGCAAAGAAACTTGTTTTCCGGTTCAGTCCAACCAGCTGATCAAGTGACAATCTCGACCATTGATCTAAGTCACAACAGGCTGTCGGGTCAGATATCACCAATGTTCTCGACGGTACAGAACCTTTACCTGAATAACAACCGTTTCACCGGTCAGATCCCGGCCAGCATTGTGGACCAGTTATTAGCCGGCGACATACAAATACTTTACTTGCAGCATAACTATTTGACGGGGATAGAGATTAATCCGACGGCTGATATTCCTGTAAGCAGTTCGATGTGTCTACAGTATAATTGCATGGTGCCACCCGTACAGACGCCGTGCCCGTTGAATGCCGGGAACGGGAAGACTAGGCCTACTGTCCAGTGTAACGAATGGAAGGGGTAGATTGGTAACTTTCACGAACTTTTGGGATGTTTGTAAAATAATACAAGAGGAGTTGAGAGAATCTTTTTAAGAAGGAATGGGCATTCGGATGTAGGTATGATTTAAGATGAATGTTCATATTGAAATTGAATTTTTTATGTTAATTATACTAATAATATTTATCCTGAATTTTTATCTGTGTCGATTCCATACGAAAATTTTTATTGTGTGTGTATATATATATATAATAATCAAATGGTTGTGATATGTGTCACTTTAGGTTTAGGACATTGACAATTATGAACACGTTTGTAGATTTTGATGTGAACATTATTGGTAAGGTCTATGTTCCACATGGGGGAGTGCTTCCCTACCAATAATTGGTAAAATAAAATATTATATTAGATGGATTAATTAGTTGACCCTTATTCCCATATGTAATGGGGTAAGTGAGAGGTAAGATAGTAGACTGTCCCCAATGTCAGATTGAGAGCAGCTTCCGTGGTAGACCTTCAAATTATGAATTGCCTACCGTGAGACTCAATCCCACGACCTCAAGGTTAAGAACCTTGTGCTCTACCAACTGAACTGGATAGGCAACTTCATTAGATGGATTAATTAGATTGGTAAAATTAAAAATCACCTTGAATCGGCTTCTTTAAGAATTGTTGTCAAGTGGTGTGCTTTATTCCCCCTAATGATTTGTTGTTTCAGGGTGCAATTATTAAACCGTTTGATAATGTTATTATCCTCAATCTGCCAAAATAGGGGGCGCTTGCTTATCTCTTACATGTCCCCTAATCATTTTTCAACCACACGAGAGCTCATGGAAATACAAAAGGAATACTGCTGAAAATGATGGACAGTGTTGGATTGTAAACACAAATAAATCGAGTACCCATTGATGGATTGTTGCTTTCAAACACAACTTTCTTTCTTCCCCATACGTGTGCAGAAAAAGGGTTTCAAAATGTTAAAAATATATATGATCAAGCACTTCAATTAACTGGTATGAAGCATCAGATTGTTTCTTTGCAAGTCGGTTCCAATCGATACGCCATCAGCTAGCTGCATTCAGTAACTTGGTCCAAAGCAACATTTATATACACACAGCGCGGTTTTCATACAGAATCAAGGATGAAAAAGGGAAAGCGTTTGCATTGTTTATTTATGTACAACAATTCATATGCATGGATGTTAAACAATTAGTCATTATTAGAGCTGATATTTAAACAGCATACAGATAGATAATCATATCATATAATGGTATATGTATAACTTACACTCTTACAGAAGTAGGGGTGGCCTTCAATAGTAATATCTCCTTCGGATTCTCTTTGTGCTCACCGGTGCTGGTGCTTCTCCACTACCAGGGAATTCCCACCTCACCAAATCCCCATCCCAGGAAGAGCTGACCAGCATCGGGTAGTACGGGTGCCAGCTACAGTCTCTTACCGGAGATGTATGGTGCTTGAGTACTGCAACTTGGGCTCCGGTTACCTGTATTCATCACTCATGTTATGATGCATCTTTAATTTACATTCATTTGCCGGCATAATCAAGCACTGCGTATAACGCTGATATACTTGTTTTTGTAGAATACAGAATTTACACTTTTCAGTGATGGTTCAACATAATGCATGCAACTACAGCTATTCAGCTCAAAACTCAGTCGAGTAACAATTTTGAATCTAACAGGGAGCACCATCGTGTACTAATATCAGTACAACATATCAATAATGTATACAATACTGAATAGTGACACAAAATACAACCTATAGGATAAGCAATATCAAAATTTGGGTCACTTACCACGTCATAAATATAAACCCGAGAATCATGAGATCCCGTATAAATATACTTTTGACCCGTACTGCAATAACAGATTCAAGAAATTGATGACTAGTTAATAAACAATTTAAACCATGGACAACAGTAAGAAGAAGATAAAGAAAATAACTCGTAAACCAAAATGACAACTAAAAGATCACCGAAGTTTCAACCAACAGCAAGAATCACAGCAACACTCACCTGTATTCCGGGGAGAAGTAACAGCGGATAAGAGTTCTCAAGACAGAGTGACCTTTATAAGTAGCCACTGATTGGTCACATGGGTGTTTCAAATCTCTAGCTTGTGGCGGGTAGTCCATCCATCTGTAATCCCATTCATAATTCCTAAACCCTAAATTGCTGCAATAAGATAGTAAAGAAGTCCTTAATTTAATCTGATTTATTCTTTTCAATCTAGGATGATGTTGAAGAAAGCATAAATAGCATTGGTTTCCATAAACTCGGTCCTTCATATTCCGTGGACATTGCTTTAACCAAAATCAATCTAGTAAATTAAATCGGAAATCCAAACTTATCACGATCTAACTGATGCTGAAATTGAAATTTTGAAGTTTCATGACATAGTTATGTAGAGAAAACCTAAACCATGCTGCAATTTCTATTTTAATAAAATAAAAAGATGCAACTAGCAAGAACAAATGAGAAGCCAAAAAATAAGCATACCAAGAGGCACTGGAAGACATTTTTCTGATATCCCAAAGCTTGATGGTCTGATCTTTACTATTTGATATGAAATAACAACCATCTCCACGACTGTCGATATATGTAACACCCTCCAGGTGTCCCATCAAGACCCCAGCCGGCTTATCTTTTGTAACAAAGCAACGCCTGTCCCACACCTAAACACAAATTAAACGTTACCGCCAATTGCCTGATCAAAATAAAGCAGATTTTCGTCTCACTTTCAGGAACATGTTGAGACATATTCAAAGACACTTTCTAATGGTGTTTGCCTTCGAATTTTAGTGATAGTGAATGGCAAATTACTAAAATACAGAAAGCAAAACAAACTCTTTGCAACTCACCATAGCCTTTTCAAACTCTTCAGTGTTAACACACAAAATTATGAACTAAAACTAAACTACAAATAATGGCCTTGGTAAGGTAATACATATCTGGCTAAAACTACAATAAAAAAGTACTATAAAAGTATATCATAAAAAAGGATAATGACATGTAAATTTTCTATGGATAAGAAGCCTGAACTCACCTTGCAGAGATTATCATCGCTCCCAGAATATATCAAATTACCACTTTCATCAGCAAAGGTTACTGTATTAACATCAGCCTGCAAAACAAAAATCAATTTTAGGACCCCTGGAACTATAGATCCAAACAGAGCCCCCCCAAATTACATGAAATCTTCCTATATTAAAGAGAAGAAATGTCATGTGAATTAAATTACAGTCAACAGAACATTTTATACTTCATGAGTGGAATCTTAAAACATAGAGAAAATGCAAGAGTTGTAAGTTAATTCAAAATTATTTAATTTTCAAAAGCTTTATTTTCTTTACTCTCACTTCTCAACTCTACCAAGCAACAAACAGAAAGAAAATTGCTTTTTCTTTCAAATTTTCCATCGCACCTACAACCACACTGATGGAAAGATAATATATGTTTTCCATCTTTCTATTTTTCTACTCCTTTAATTTCCCATCATTCCAATTCTTTCCACTTAACCATGCAAAGCATTAATGTTGATATAGATGAGGCAGGAACTTTTCAAATATATTAACAAATGCAGGAGGAAGGACTATAAACTGCGGCCGTATAACTTAGATACAACCTAAGTGGGACAGAGGCAACTGATACAAGAGCAAAATACTTGCATAAAACTACTGAGGTAGAAATGTCCATTGCTATAGATATTGTTCTCAAGGAAGCTAAATGTTTCAACTTCGAGACACTGATTACTATCTATATGCATTTAAATTAGTTGATGACAAGAACTTCCGTTATAAGCATAAAAGCAAAAGTACTCTTTAAAAATAGTGAAACATAATCAATTGACAGTGGTTAATGGTGTAAACTGATATATTACTTTCTAGTAATTTAAGATATGGTTTCAAACATAAATCAGTCATTATAACTGACAGATAAAACTTCAACAAAATCCAAGCAATAAAATACTCATAAAGCAACATACTTGTCAAATCAAGAAGACATGGAAAGTGAATTTACCATGTGTGCCCCAATTCGGAGGGACAGCTTGTTTGCTTCAAGATCATAAACGTATATTGAATCGTCACTGCTTCCAGCAACAAGTTCTCGTCCATCAGTTGAAAATTTCACAGAGAATATTCCAAAAGAATACCCTCCATCAGAAGCAGAAAAGTCCAACCCTTCATGGATCTCCTGAAAAACATAGAACTCCAAAACTGTGACCAAAAACATTGTTGGAAAAAAGAATATTTCGAGGAATAAAGTTACTTTATTCATTGTCAACTTTTAAAGATATGCATGCATCTAAAATAGTCAATTTCAAAGATTAATAGGAAGAGCATTTACCGTGACATTTGCAAGGGATTCTGTGTTAGCTGACCCAACATTAACAATATGGACTATAGGTGACATGCTGGTATAAACCTAAAACAAGGAATAGAATTTTGATTAAGATATCTGCAACAAACATGAAATTTAAGGTCATTGAGGAACAAGCGTTTGGCTCATTGAATGCCAACAATTAAAGTGCAATAAAATAAACAATGAGATAAAAAATAAAAATCCACTTGGACAAAAATATTTCCTTCATTTGTAGTTTAAAGAAGTTAGTCTAAGTTGATGTCCTTAAGCCCATATCTTGTAAATCATTAGAGAATGGTTTACTCGACTAACAATTGTTACTTTTCAAGTTAAGTCTTTTTCCATCTTCATTCCTTGAATTTTGTGTCTTCCCCATTATCTGCACTTTGTAGGTCAACATAGGTGAGTAAAGGAAAAAAATCGTCTGGTCACCACACACTACCAACCTAGTTACAAGGGCATAAAAACATTACAAGAAAACTTAAACATTAAAGCAACAGATGACCAGACAAAGCAAGCATGCGCCGAATTATGTACATACAAGTTGAAAAATGGCATTTGTGGATTATAAGCTCTGTGCTCACAGTGAATTCATTCTTCTGCATAAGTTTATATAACAGTATCCTATATCTGTTTACGTTTAGAATGAAAAATAAAGATCAGGGCACCAGAGAATAAGGTTCTATCTAGTATATTTTGTCATGTTGCTCTGAAAGTGAGACCGTGGCATTCTGTATGATACTGGCACTAATGAATTTGGAACTCAAAAGCTATCCAGTATTTCTTATACCGTGAATCCTTGTAACAAAACCTAAAGTGATATTTGTATCCTCAAAAATTTAAGCATGGGGTGATACAAAAGTGGGATGGTTTAAATCCCTTTACTGCACAAAGGGAGATGATTTTAAGCCTTTTAGTACTTGAAATGTGTTATCTTACAAATAACAAGCTCTTTCATCTTTCACTATGACATTCTCTCCCATGGAACTCACATTTCCCCTGCAGAAGATATGCCAAATATATAGTTTTCAAAAAATTCACATTGACAGGAAGGAGAACACTCAGCACATATGATAGAACTAGACGGAACCCAGGGGGAGGGGGAGTTCATTCCAGCAATAAAAATTCCTTTAGAATAACGAAGTTAATTTAAAATAATGTGTGGAGAATACACAACCAGAAATCATTGAACCATCTCAGATATGCAAATATAATTAACCATATCAAGTATGAACTCACAAGATAGCGCTGATCTGGTGAAAGGGATGTGTCAGTAACTGTCCAACGCAAACTTTTGGCAAGAATGTTCTTCTGAACTTTCCAACCTCCATCCACATTGTATATCCTAATATTGCTTCCCTGAAAACGAACATTCACAATCGAATTAAATCAAACCTAATACTACCTATATTCCAACGTATTCAATGTCAAGTGAATATTGCTCAGATTTAATAAAATCAACAACACCTGAAACCCAGCAACAAACAAAGAACCATCAGCTGAAAATTGAGAAACATAGGCCCGGCTGGTCGCTTGGTCCACAAGCCAAGGACCATTTTCAGGCAAATATCTACTAAGCATGTGACAACGATCTGCTGATGAGAACCCTCCTCCCCTTCCAGAATAGTTACCTTCTCGACCGGCCAACATCTTCGCCGGGGAAACAGGTAGTTTTTTCTTTCTCGGCATGAGTTGGCACAGTCGTTCATTAGGCGCTGATTTGAGGTTCGTGAGCTGCACGATCTCGTGGTCTACTTTACCGGATGGTTTGCCAGACCTGTTACTGCAACCAGCTTCATTGGTGACATCACCGCCTTCAAACAACTCGGATTCTAACTCCAGCTTACTCATGGCATACCCCATTTCGACAATGACAGTCTACTGGCTGTAAACAACTTTTTTTAATATAAAAAGCTCTATCGAAATTTTTGCATGTGCTTCTACATATCTATTAAACCTTCATATCAAAGGACATTTTGTTTGGTTCTTAACATTTCAAACCTTAAAAGAAAAACAGAAAACATATATAAATTTTGTGTGTATAAACATAATACTCAAAAGGGATTTGTAATTAAGGAAAAAACCCATGTTCCATATAATCAAAACAATGAATTTCAGCACAGTTTGACCAAGCTTAAACACTTCCATACCCAGAAAAAAATGCAGGAAAACCCAACATAAAGAGAAGTGTTAAAGTTTCATAGAACCGAATACATACGAACAAAAAAGCAGCACCCACTGATTCGATCGTCAAACAAGAGAAACCCAAACTTTCTTGAACATGTAAGTAACAACTAACAAGGCAACTGCACAAGACAAGAAAAAAATATAGAAGTATATAAAAAAAATAAAAATAAAAAGCTTAAAGAGTCAAACAAAGTGGATAAAAAGGGACTGTGAAGGGCTTTAGCCTTACCTGTTTTGTTCTTTCACAGAATTTTGAAGCCTTCGGAGTTTGGAATTTGATGTTGCTGAGATTCAGTCATATCATACATAAATTTTATTTGTTTTTTCGTTTAGATTTATAGGGGAAAATAAATTTTCTGACTCACGAGTTCGAGGCTGTCGCTGCTCGCTTTACATTTTGATACGTGTCCTTCGTTTTTCGTAAATTCTGTTCTCGGTTCCTCTATTCTTTTAAGATTTTAAAGTTAATCTCTATTCTATATCTAACATCATAAACCATTTATTACAAATAAATATTAATATAAATATTTTCTGGAAAATATACATTTTAGTCCATCATGTTTTATATGAATTTTTATGTTGGAACAGATGTTTTCTTAAAAATGTTAAAATACCTAAGAAGTATTTCTACTCTCAAGATGTGAGCAATTACATCCTTCTACTAAAAATGAAACAAATTAAGGGTATGTTTGCACGTTAGATAAATACATCATTTTTTAAATAATATTGATATCTCATTTATGAACCTATTCATTTAAAATAAATTATATATATTATATAAATATAACTATTCATATTATTATATATAAACATAAAATAATAATCAATAATGAATTTAATATTTTTTTAAATAATTGATTGTATTAAATGATTTAAGATAAGTGCCGTTCTTTCTAAAGGTTTTGAAATCAAATAATTATATATATATTAGGTGTATGTATGTTATTATTATTATTATTATTATTATTATTATTATTATTATTATTATTATATTATATGAACACATTATATTTTAATAAATTCAAAAAAAAATTTAAAAAATTATATATAATCATATAAAATTATATCAAAATTAAGTGGATAAATGGTTATTTTATCTTTGCAAGAAATGTATGTACAAGTGGTGGGCTGGGTTAGTTTTAGATGCATCGTCACCAGATCCGTCCGCTTCCTCCAATGTTAGAGGGTGTTTGGATAAGAGAATGTGAGATTCTCATAGAATAAAATCTATATTTTTTTGTTTGGTTAGTCCAGAAATTTCATTTTCGGTAATATAAAATTATCAATAGTAGATTTTTTTGGATATATTACCGGGAATGTTATTACCTCACTTTCTTTAGGTATTGTTAGATTCCCGACATTTTGGACTAAAATATCCTTAAATTTTATATGAAGTTCAGAGATTAAAATAAAATTTTACCCTTTCATTAAACCTTTTTATATTTTCAATTTTGTAAAAAAAAATTATATAGATTTTATAAATTTAAATTTTTTAAAGAAAATATATAAATATTTTTCAATTTATTAAAAAAAATATATAATAAGGATAATTTGGTCAAATATAAATTTCAATAAATTTTTATTCTTTTAACTAAACACGGTAATCTTACATTTTTAATAAACTAACTAAATACAAAATACAACAATCTTAATAATCTTATTCCCCGATTATCTTCGCACTAATAATTTCCCATTCCGTGAAGTGTAAGCTTTGCAATCCCAGAGTAGAGTTTTGCTTTAGCCGCCAAATCTGTAGAGCATTACATTCATCCATCTCGATCTCAGGATCTTCTTTCTTCGCTAAAACCCTCCTTAAACCCTAAGAACTTTTGAAAACAAAAACCCATGTCTCCATTAAAATCCCAATGAAGCGCGTTTTGAGAATCTACGACGTCGCCGCAGCCAAATCGGAGGTGCTGTTTAATCTCCATAGGCACCATTCAAAACCCATATCTTTAATCTCAACTTCATATAATCTTCAAAGACCGTCTCTTTACAGATTTTATGGGGACACTGTTGCACCCACCACTAAAATCTCCAATAACATTATCAACTTGTTTATTGAAAAGATTTCTCTGGTGGAGTCGCAGGTCTGTCCCAAACCGGAGATGATGCAGAAAGTGATTCAGCTCAGGGATGAATTGGTAGTAAAGGTTGGCTCTTTAAAGGAAGTGGTCGAGATTTTGGAGGAGAGAGGGGATTGGTTACTTGGGAGTTATAGAAATCAGGGAGATGTGCCTGTGCGTACCAAAGAAATCCCTAACCTTGTTTTTTCAGAGTTAATGACAAATCTGGGTTCTTGGCCTAATTTGGTCATGGAGGTATGTTTTTTCATTTTTTCCTTTTTGAGAATTAGAATTTAGGATTAAATAAATATGGGTTTTTTTTGTAGGGGGTTTAGTTGGGGGAGTGTTTTTAGGGAGTTCCATTGTAGACATTGGAATGTGTTAGCCTTTTGTTTTCATATTAAACTGTTTCTTCAGGTGTTTAATTGGAGGAGAAGAAAGATAGAGGAAGGCTATCCCATGACGTCGGAAGAATATACTAGTGGTATCACCATTGCTGGTAGGATTAAGAATGTAGATCTTGCTGCCGAACTCTTTTCCGAAGCTGAAAGTAAGCAGCTCAAGACGACTTCTATGTACAATGCGTTAATGAGTGCCTATATGTTCAATGGCATCATTGACAAATGTCAATTAGTGTTTCGGCTTCTGAAAAGGGATCCAAGTTGTTCTCCTTCGATTGTAACATATAACATTCTTATATCAGTCTTTGGTCGTTTGATGCTGATAGAACACATGGAGGCAACTTTCCAGGAGATTCAACGTTTAAATCTCACCCCCAATATAAATACCTACAACAATTTAATTGCTGCGTATGTGACTGCTTGGATGTGGGATAGGATGGAAAGTACTTTTCGTTTGTTGAAAACTGGACTGGTTAAGCCTAATATCAACACTCACTTGCTGATGCTTCGGGGATATGCACACTCTGGGAAATTGGATCGAATGGAAGAGACGTTCCAAATGTTAAAGCTTCACGTGGATGTCAGTACCCCATTGATTAGAGCCATGATATATGCATATTGCAGGAGTTCTGTCAAGGACAGGAATAAAAGGGTCGAGGAATTGTTAAGGCTAATTCCAGAAGATGAATACAAACCTTGGTTAAATGTGTTGTTGATTAGACTTCATGCGCAGGAGAATAATTTAGATAGTATGGAGAAGTTGATTTATGAGGCCTTTGAGCACAAAACCACTGTATTGACTGCTCCTTTGATGCGTTGCATTATCACTGCTTATTTTTGTTGCAATGCTGTGGACAAACTGTCAAGTTTTATAAAGCGTGCAGAATGTGGTGGATGGAGAATCTGCAGGTCTTTGTATCACTGTAAAATGTGCATGTATGGGTTACAGAAGCGCTTGGAAGAAATGGAGAATGTTCTTAATGAGATGGATAATGTCCGCATCAATTATACTAAAAAGACGTTTCTGATAATGTACAAGGCATACTTAATGTGTGGTAAAAGGCATAAAGTTGAGACAGTAGTGGGATTAATGTGCAAACGTGGCTATCGATTTCCAATAGATCAATTTCTGTCATGATAAACCTTTTGTGCAGCAATACACCAGCAGAAGATGCAGGATACGATTAGCTGATTAGCATTTCTGGTTCATCACGATCACAGCAGTGAATAGAGATTTCAAATCACCCATAGGTACGTATCTTGTCTTGGTTTGATATGCTATCCCAAGTGATAGGTTTTTTTTTTAATGTCGCTAGGAAATGATACATCATGCATTCGGCCCCATCCTCTAATGATTTGCTTGAGCTTTTTCCTCCGATTTTTATTGTATGAATCAACAGCCACAATACTCATAACAAACATTGTGAAAGTATTCATCTTAATAACAATTATCAATTGATCCTATCCTTATATCTTATCTTTATGCCTTTTTTGTCTTGGTTAAGGCGAGCACCAATAGTAGCTCCAAGTATATTGGTTTATCGGTTTGAGCTGGTTGGATATTAAAGTGTTGCACTTGTAATTGGTCAGCTTTACCACTAGTTTAGGAGAATATGGCTGGAATTGGATTTGAACTGTTAGTTCCTGTAAATTTATTAAAGGTGTCGCTCTCTACTGTATGTTCTTCATTCTGTTTCATGTGGCATGAAAACCTTTCGGGTCTATTTTGCCTAAAACGATGTTATTTGACAGCAATTCTGAAAATTCTGCATTTCGTTTGATGTCCTTCATGTTGATGTTCATTTTTCAAACTGTATGAAGCTATTCGGTTTTTTTTTGGTCTTTATTGTTATAATACTGCAATTAACTGGCTATCCATGTAATTGCAGAAAGTGTTACGTTTCTTGATGGGCTAAGAGTACCCCATAAGATGACTTCCAAAGGGAATGAATAAAACTCTCTAGGACATTCAGGATTATATCATGTTCTCTCTTGCTGCATGTTTCATACCTTATGGAAAAAACTTGACTAATCTCTGTAGAATTGTAGGATTTAGAAAAAGACCAAAACTTTTTCACCTTAAACTCAGGGAATGATAATATGTTGGCAATTTTGATTCTAGGTGAGCCTGAGCTTGTCATCTGTGAGAAAGGGACCTGAAGGTAGCATCTTTCTAAGGTACAATTGTTGGTAGTCTGAATTAGTCAGACCGGTTACCTTTCGAATGGGATTGTTGGGGTGATCCTAGTTTGCTTGCTTTGTAAACTCTTGTTCTTAGCTTATGTCATTTTAGGTAGCGGCAGGGATTCGAGCTCTCTTGTTACACGAGACAAGAATCCTGTTGTTAGGTCAAGAGGTTATCAGCAACTTGTGATATTGCTTGCATTGAAGGATTAAAATCGAAGTCTTTAGGTGTCCTGTCAGGAATTTTTACATGTCTAACAGGTTATGCTATATATTCATATAAACTACAGTGTCAAAGCTATTGAAGTGCACCAATATTGAAATGCATTGGGAATTCAAAACTCTAGCTATTTTCTTTTGCTAATGATGTAATCTAATCACATATGGGGGAAGGTTTAAATATGTGAATGGTTTTTGGCCACCTCAACCTGAAAAAAGAGAGTACCCACTCGATTATGTCTAGATAGTTGTGGTGTTTCACCTGCCCCAAAATTTCAATCCGAACAATATGGCAAGAACATATAATGAAATGGTTACAAGAATTCAACGAATACAAAGAAGGAAAACACATATCTCCCAAACAGCTCAAGTGAATTCCTTTCTTTTTCCTACTCTATCCTACCAGTACTTTCTATCCTAATTACCGTACCTATTCGGTCGATCCGGAATGGATCGGTTAAACATTCCACTAGGGAGCCTGCTCTTGACTCTTCTGTGTGGTATTCATTCTCGTTCGGCTCTTGGAATCACATCCAGCAGTGGTTGGAACAGCTCGCAAAATCCAACCACTTAACCTACTTTAGTGCCCCTAACCATTTCTCGTACGTCTAATCGTAACAGAATGGTTTCATGTTCTTTTATTGATTCGTTATTCCTCTCCGTTGGTAAAAGGCATTTGGTCTAGTAGTATGATTCTCGGTTAGGGTGCGGTAGTCCTGAGTTCAATTCTCGGAATGCTCCTTTTTATTATTTATGGTTTGGAGGCATCAGAGGGTGACAAGTGGGCTCTTTTTCTAGATATCTATTAAAAATCAAGTTAAAAAAAGGGTAAATTATGTGAATAGTCTCTTTTGTTTAGGGTCTAACCGACTTTGATCACTAATTTAAAAATTAAGAGTAAATGGTCTCTCACATTATCATTTTGTCCGGCTTAAGTCTCTCTACCATTAATTTCTGTTAATCCATTTTTGTTTAAGTCTCTAATATGGTTGAGGAACTAAAATCGAACGGGAGCTAAAGGCTGAGACACTAAAATCGAACGGATCGATAATATTAGAAACATGGTTTAGAGGCATAAGAGGGTGACAAGTGGGCTATTTTTCTAAATATCTATTAAAAATCAAGTTAAAAAAGGGTAAATTATGTGAATAATCCCTTTTGTTTAGTGTCTAACCGACTTTGATCACCAATTTAAAAATTAAGAGTAAATGGTCCCTCACATTATCGTTTTGTTCGACTTAAGTCCCTCTACTATTAATTTCTGTTAACCCATTTTTGTTTAAGTCCCTAATATGGTTGAGGGACTAAAATTGAACGGGAGTTAACGGCTGAGAGATTAAAATCGAACGGATCAATAACGTTAGAGATCATATCCCCTTAATTTTTAATTTGGTGACCAAATTCGGTCAAACCGTAAATAATAGAGACTATTCGCATAGTTTACCCTTAAAAAATCATAGAGGCATAAGAGGGTGACAGTTGCGTTTTTGTCTAAAAAACCTAGTAAAATAAAAATAAACAGAAAGGGGGTGTAAACAGAAAGGGGGTGTTTCGAGAATCAAGAACTCGTGGCCTCTTGCACCCAAAGCGAGAATCATACCACTAGACTAAAGGTATCTGATTACAATGTAACGTATATCATATGGAGTTTACAATGTATTTGATTAAATTAAAATTCTTCTGATATTTAGATTCTAACTCTTTGAAAAAGTATCTGATTAAATGATGTCAATAGTAAAAGTAAAAATTATTTTTAAAAAATTTAGATTCGAATAGTTACATGTATAAGGTATATTTGTGTATTGTCAATAGATTAATTTTTTTTATAAAAGAATAATAAAGAGGAGTAACGGCCTAGCAGGTAAAAAATGCAAAATTAAAAACATTTACCTTACACATAAAAAAATTAACTTACGAATGAAGCTTAGAGGGATGAATGTTCCATCTGTTCTTCTTTTAGGGGTTGTTTGTTTGGCTCTGAATGGAATCATTCAGCGTTGAATGCTGAACCGTTCAGCATTCAGCGCGTTTGTTTCGCACCTCTGAATGATTCAGTGCAAATTGATTTAGCAAAATAGTGCTGAATGATTTAGCATCAAAGTATATTCTGAATTATTCATAGTCATTATCAAACAACATGTCACATTCAGAGTTAATTCATACAGAGCCTCTGAATCATTCAACATTTGAATGATTCAACGCTTAATCATTCTGAAGTAAACAAACAACCCCTTAATCTATTATGAATCAAGTCAGGGGTTTTATTTTAAATAATTTCAATAAAAAAATATTTTGAATTTTATTAACAAGTTGAGCTACATATTCATTTAGCCTTATAGTTATCCACTTTAATATTTAAAGAAAATTCGACTGAGAACCTTATAATTGTCCACTGTCGTATAAATATTAATTTGATATCAAAGTTTTAATTTAAAAATAATTTATTATTATTATTATTATTTACAATCTGAAGTAAGTATAAGATAATATATGTTTAAAGATATCTATCAACCTTTTAACATTAAATGCTTATACCCCTATTATTTCTGATGCTCGAATCCGAAATTTCAAGAAATAACAACAATTCATTTACCACATAGATAATATTATTCACATTTATTCATTTACTTTCATTTAACGATTCAATATACAACTTAATTTTTTATATATATAATATCATTATGTCATACCTCTCACCAAAATATTTTTGTTACCGCCTAATCCAATATTTCATTCCCACCAAAGGTTAGTTCCCCAGCGATGGCGATCCCAGCGACTCAAATCCAACCAACCAAAACAATCTCCACTTTCGAAATCCGTGGATAACAAAAGCACAAAATCAATTTGGCAATCCGCGTAAGTCCCACACACCAATCAGACTGCAGCGTCTCCCTCATATATAATGCAACTCCCCCATATTGCAGGCTCTCCATCTCCCACCATAAAGCATTTTCAAAGTTTACCAAAGTTTCTCCCTCTCAAATCTGAAACCATGAGCTCCGCCGCCGCAGCAACCAAAGGAGGCCGAGGCAGGCCGAAGGCGAAGGCTGTTTCCCGATCCAGCAAAGCCGGACTCCAATTCCCCGTCGGCCGTGTAGCTCGTTTCCTTAAGAAAGGACGATATGCCGAACGTGTAGGATCCGGGTCTCCCGTTTATCTCTCCGCCACCATCGAATATCTAGCCAACGAGGTTTGTATAATTGGAACTCTCTTATTCTGTAAATTGATAATCTCTGGAAATTTCGATGGTTGTAGAAACTGATCCGCTTGCGATTTCCCTAATAATTTACAGGTTTTGGAGTTGGCTGGGAACGCGGCAAGGGACAATAAGAAGAACAGAATCATTCCAAGGCATATTTAATTGGCTGTGAGGAACGACGAAGAACTGAGCAAGCTTCTGGGCGGTGTGACGGTCGCTAAAGGTGGAGTTTTGCCTAAAATTCATCAAAGTCTGCTGCCAAAGAAAGCCGGGAAAGGGAAGGGAGACATTGGTTCTGCTTCTCAAGAATTTTAGAATGCATTTGAAGTAATACATTTAGTCTTTTGGTTGGGTTTTGTTGATAGAATGAAGTGAAACAAAGTTTGATTTTTCATGTATAGAATAAAAGGGTAGATTTGAATCTTTCTGTTCATTCATGTTAAAGTTAATTTCAATTTAAATTCGAGTATAAATGAAATTTTATTAATAGATTAAGAAAGCAAAGTGCAGCAGCTTGGGATGACTATTCGGGTTCCGAGAATCGATATATTCCAACCTTAGAATCTCATGATCACCTTCTTTTCCATCACTGATATTAGAATAGATGGAAGATCCTTTCTTTGCTTCAATTCAAACAACAGAAAATTATTTACTAATTACTATACACCATGAAATTCAACCAAAACAAATAAGACAAAAAGAGTCCACTTGTTATCCCCAAACTATAAAAAAATCAAGAAAAAAGAATATGGGGCGTTCCGAGAATCGAACTCGGGACCTCTCGCACCCAAAGCGAGAATCATACCACTAGACCAAACGCCCACTATTGTTCACATTTCAAAGAAAGAGATTTATTAATAAATATTTCTTTTGAACCGAAATGCTCCGTATGAAGTCAATAATATTTATGATTGAATTAAATGTGAATTGAAGAAAATATAATATTGTGATAAGAGTTAGAAATTTATAATAATAATATTTTATATTTTTTTACTCAAATGACACTTGAATATTAATATTATTAATAAAAATGACACATTTTTAACAAAAGTGCGTTTAACGTCGTAGTTTTAGGGGGGGGGGGGGGGGGGAAACGCTTTCACGTGTAAGATGTGTATTTAACTGTGGCAGGCTATCTAGATAGTCTCTTTCACAGTGACTTTAGTTAGAGTCAAAATGAAAGAAATTAAAAATAATGAGTAAAAAATTATACGAATTCCATTCATAAGTAAACAACACGTGTGACCAAACGACGACGATGACACGAGTGTATAACCATTATCTTCATCCATTCAATGAATAAATATTTTATTTAAACATTTAAAAAAACACATATTTAGACAGATATAGAATTTAAGAATATCATGATAAAAACTTGATTTTAAATTATCAAAAACAATTTTTAAATTTAATCAGTCTCATATAAATATGATAGTCTAGGACAAATAAAATATTTCTCAAGTTAATTCTTTTAATTTAAATTTGAAATTTAAAAATATATATGTTTTTAATTTTTAAGAACAAATTTATGTATGAAATTATTTAGATGTCCCAATTTTAATAAAGTTGAAGTAAAAAGGTAATGAAGTTTTGGGATTATAATACCTTAGATTTTGATTAAAGGCTAAAAAATCACCTTGGAATTGCATGAATTGATGAAGCGTTTATGTTCGGTTAACTGTACCGTTAAGCTTAAACAATTAGTTAACTGTTATAACGGTTATTAAATTTTATTAATTATAACCTAACTATTAAGAAATGTTTAACCGCTAACGGTTAACTATTATTAATGGTTCGGTTATAAGGTAACTTATGGTTAACCTATTATAATAATTTTCGAACATTAATCGTAACTGTAACCTTTGATTGCTGTTTTTAGTTGTTCGATTAATTAACTTATAAAATATAACGATTACATCGATTAATAGTTATAGTTAACGGTAACAGATTAATTTAAACATCGCTAAATGAATGGACACGCGAGAAAGAAATTATATCAAGCTTTAAGCAAATCAACCCTACACTAACAAGAGTTCTTGCAACGAAGGTCGCTTATTCAACAATAACTTCATTGGGATTTCAATTAACCAGTAAAACATACATATATATATATATATATTACCAAGAATGTATATACATAAATAAAATAATGGGTACTTTCTTTTTATTATTATTTTATACAAGTTTAGTGAAACATTACAAAATTATCGAATGATATTAGTAATAAAAGGCAATAACATTATTTTTATAGAATTTAAATTCGAAAAGTTACGTTTGTAAAGTATGTATTATTAATAGATAAAAAAAATTTAATTATATAAGTATCTACTCTAAAATCTGAATTTTTTATCTTATATAAAAATTTGTATTATTAATATATATATATATATATATATATATGCCATCCTAAATTATTTTAAAAAACATTGTAAATCCGGCACAATAATCACAGTAGACTGTTAAACAAAAATAACCGTAGCATATGCAAAAACAAGGCCTAATAGCATAAAAGAAAAAAATAAAAGCAAGTAAAGAAATACGAGTCCCTATGAGAAATGGTGTGGTCACCACCAGCTTTGGTTTTCACTAATCTGATGGAACCTGGGTTGAAACCATGCACCTTGTTTCTTAAAATCCCTACTGTTTTCATAACCTACCATCTTACCCCAATGACCATCACCAGAAGACACAGTCGTCCCGCAAATAGAAACTCCACACATATCATCCAATGCCAGTCGTGCTTTCATTTGATTCTTCTCTTTTTCGCTGCAGAATCTTAAACCCTCTCGCGCCTTCGTCCAAATTACTTCCGCCAGGCACAACCTCTGCTTCTCGAGATGAAAATACGCCATAATATTATTCTTTTTGTCGATGAATAAAAAGTAGCCTTTGTGGTAAACAGCGTAGTGGATTCCCCTGGGGAATCTAGCTTCGAGCTTGTACTTGGTCCAAGAACTGGCTCCTCCGCGGTGAATCACGTGTAATTCAAGTTCAGTATCGGTTGCTCGGTTAAAGATGCCAACGCTGCAGTTTTTCGATGTCGGCGGAGCCGTAAAACTTGCGACATGGTTGGAGATTACCGAGTGAGGGAATTTCACCGGGATGTGTATTTTGGCACGGGACAATGGACAAAAGAAGAATATTGAGCCGCCTTCACGGAATAGTAGGAGCCACCCTTGTCTCGATGATAGGCAGGTTGTTCCGTTCAGTTCCGGGATATTAGTAGTGTGTTTTTCAGATTCAGTAATCAATGTGCATGTGGAATTATCGTCACCGTATAATAGGAACCACGGCTCGTGATCCGATACAGTTTCGATCTTGTCCAAGGCACCGGAAGAGGCCGCGTACCAGTGTTTGCAGACGGCTCGGAATCGAAGAAGCTCAAATAAGCCCAAGCGTTCAGCAATAGATGGCAATAGATCATGAAGATCAGTCCAGTCCCTGGTTGACTTTTGGTCACGTTTGATGAACCTGGAGACAATGTATAATTCATGTTCTTCCGTATAAACCCCCTAAACTCTAAAAACTAACGACTGAATTAATAAAGAAAAAAACCAAACCTTGAATGGATCGTTGTAAAAAACCATCGGCCGATTAGAAAAGGTATCCTGAAAGGGCAACGATTTATAAATAGATCGTTTAATGAAAACGTTAAGGTTTTGATATTCTGATCATGTTTATAACGATGAAGTTAAAAAAGTAACGGAGTTTTGGGGATTATAATACCTTACACATTGATTCTGGGCTGAAGAAATCGCCATGGAATTACACAAATTGGTGAATGGATCTTTTGGAGAGAAAATCAAGTATGTTTTAAGCAAAGCAAACCCTACACTCACAAGAGTTCCTTTCAACTAAGGTCTCTTATTGACCAATAACTTTAACGATTTCAATTACCCAGTAAAATAGAACAATAATAATAACAATGTATAAAATTTTAATCTAAATTATTTATTTAGACTGATTTAATAATTATTTCTATAAAAATTAATAAATTTTATATAATATAAGTAATCTTTTATCTTTACGTAATCCAAATACATATTTAGTTGAAATAGTGAGTACTTCTAATATTACTAGGGTTAGATGCCCCACTTATAAAGTTAAAGCTTTAATTAATTAAAAACATTAGTTATTTATTAATTCAATTTTATTAATATCAGATTCTCTTTTTTTAAATTGTAAATTATGAAAAACAAATTTATGATAACTGTATAGGTCGAACTACATATATTAAATTAACTTACGAATGAAGCCTAGAATAATCAATTTAAATACATAATTTTAAGATAACAAATTTATTCCCAAACGGATTGAGTATGAATATTAGATGAACTTGTGAATGAATTTATAGAAAAATTCTTTTAAATACACCATTTAAAGAAAAGTTTTTTCATGCAATTGTGTATAGGTTTTAAATTAATTTATGGAATAATCTGTTGATAGGCCAAGGAGAACCTTTTTGCAAGTAGTAGATTTGAGGGTTGCAATTGGTTCTCAACTTGACTGAGCTGTAGATTCCTCGGAGGCCAAAAGCAAAATGCTGCCGTTTCCCCTCTTTCGTATTCACCACACATGTTCTCTTGTCATCTTTGGAAATCCAATAAGCTTTATAATATCTTTGATTAATTCCAAATGACAATATTGCCCTTTTGGTACGAGCCTTGTCATTTAATATATGCTTAGGGATGAGAATCTTTTGCAACTATCATGACTGAAGAGTGGGGAACTTGTGGGTTTTGATTGGTTAGTTCTTTTCAAGTTGATTGACTTGCACACGTTCCTTTAGTATTTAGCGCATATATTATTTTGAAAAACTTATACTGGTATCTAATTTTATTTATCGGTTAATTTAGATAAGATGTTATAAAAATTTATTGTAAGGACAATTTTTTAAATCTAATTTATTTTATGGTAAATTATATGAATAATTTCTTTTATTTAGGGTTAGAGCTATTTTAGTCACTAATTTAAAAATTAAAGTTGAATGGCCGCTCAAATTATCGGCCCGTTTGATTTAAATTTTTTTGCTATTAATTTTTGTTATTGTTTAAGTCCCTTTTGTTTAAGTCCCTAATATGGTTGAAGGACTAAAATTGAACGGGAGTTAACCACTTAATACGAGGGACTAAAATCGAACGAATCAATAATATTAGGAACTAAAATTTATTTATCGCATATATTATTTTGAAAAACTTATATTGGTATCTAATTTTATTTATCGGTTAATTTAGATAAGATGTTATAAAAATTTATTGTAAGGACAATTTTTTAAATCTAATTTATTTTATGGGTAAACTATACGAATAATTCCTTTTATTTAGGGTCAGAGCTATTTTAGTCACTAATTTAAAAATTAAAGTTGAATGGCCGCTCAAATTATCGGTATGTTTGATTTAAATTTTTTTGCTATTAATTTTTGTTATTGTTTAAGTCCCTTTTGTTTAAGTCCCTAATATGGTTGAAGGACTAAAATTGAACAGGAGTTAACCACTTAATATGAGGGACTAAAATCGAATGAATCAATAATATTAGGAACTAAAATTGAACGGATTTATAACGTCAGAGATTATTTTCCCTTAATTTTTAAATTGGTGACCAAAGTCGATCAAACCAAAAATATAAGAGACTATTTATATAGTTTACCCTTATTTCATTTATAATGTGAAAAATTAAATTTCTAATTTTACTTAAATATATCTAATATTTCATCCCATTATTGATTATTGGATCGCCCTATATATTTTAATGCTTATACAAGTCAAATAAGTTGAAATTTGATTAATTCCAAATGACAATAATGTCCTTGTGTTTTGACCAAATCCAAACATGTCATGGGGTTATATAGTAAAATCACATGGATTGGTTCAATCAATGGGGGCATTTGGGGAACCAAAATACAAATATCTCTCCTCTCTCTCTCTCTCTCTCTCCTTTCTCAGTTGCCTTCTTCCCCTCTCTATCTCCCCTCTTCCAGTCTCACTTAATCCTTACAACACAACAGTTCCTCGTACAAAGCATGTTGAGAATTGGACTCAGGTTTGGTTTCTTTTTGCAATCCCAAGTGATTTTCGAGTTGCATATTCATGTAAAAACTCATTGCATCTCCATCTTTATTTCTGGGACTCTTTTCTCCTTTGGTTCTTTTTAGTGGATATCTTCTACAGCTTACTGTATTCAGTATGATTCTGCAGAAATGGCATCATATTTAGAGTTTCACTTGCTCAGAGATTTTATAACAGGGATTTATCGACACAAAATGGAAGGTATGTCAAGTGTTCATCATCTTGTTCTTAGTTTTTGCCACCTCAATGTAATTTACTTATAGAGATCTAACTAAAACATCCAGACATAAGGTCTGGAAAGATGCCGCCCAATTATGCCCCTCCAAGAAAATCTGTCATCTTCCTTGTAGATATATTACATTTTATATATCTTACATTTCCAATTCTTTTGAGGGTAAAATAAACCCTAAGCCACTCAATCATTTGTTCGGTTACAAACGGGTATTCTTTTCTTAAAAAAATATAATTTAATCACTCTAGAAAATATTATTACAATTTACAAACAAGTCGTTGGCTTAAATATTATATGGAATAGTGACGTAGTCTTGTATAGTTTTAGTCTCTAAAACTTATATATCCTATCAATTTTATCTTGATTTCGAAATAATTTAATAAATTTAATCTTTCATATTTAAAAATTCTATCAATTCCGACTTTGTTCTTTTCCAGAATTGTTATATTACTTCCATGTTATCTTTCTAATATAATAATAGTTTAACAATAACTTGTTATTTTATAGTAGCATGTGTTTATCCAACTATTGTTTTGATCTAATTGTCTCATTTGGTTTGACGATATCACAAAAAAAAAGATTAAATTGATGAAATTCTTAAATATGAAAGGTTTAAACCTATTAAATTTTTAAATAGAACTAAATTGATAGAATTTAAGGACTGAAACTATTATTATATTAATTATGTTACACATACGTTTCAATTTTAATGACAAAATAATTTATTTATAATAATATTTTAATTAGTTTTAGAAGAAAAAAAGTGATACATTTGTAACAAAATTAATAATTGAGTAACATGGGGGTGTATTTTACCCTTTTTTTAATCCATAATTAGAAAACAAAAACTGAGTCATCGTTGTCATTCATCCAATAATAAACAAAAGTGTGGTCGGTGCCATTACAATTTGCCAAGATCTTTCCATGAAGTATTAGAAGAAAAAAAAGTGCTTTTTTTATTGGAAGCCCCACGCTTTTAGGCTTTAACTGGAAATTCCCATTATACTTTTTAGTGCAATTTGCTAACTATTTACTAAACAATGCATGTGAAAGCTTCGGAAAATACCCGATTGAAAGTCTAGTAGCTTTTTAAATAAAACAATTTTTTCTTATTAGTTTGTTCCCATTCAGCTGATGAAAGGGTATTTTTTTTCTTTATTTAAGTTTATTAGGTCGGATAATATAAAATATTGTTCATTAAATATGATCGGTTCGAATCTTGTAAAAAAAAATTAGCATACGGGAAGCTTTCATCAAATCTGCTAGCAAAAACAGTGCCATTAAACTTTGTATGCCAATTTTAGGCTGTTCGCAGTAACTAAAATCTTTGATCCTATGTATGCCGCTATCAAAGCAGGCTAGAAGGCAAAGTAGCATTGATCACAGGGGCAGCAAGCGGTATCGGCAAGGCGGCGGCGGCGAAATTCATCAGTAACGGTGCCAAAGTTGTCATTGCTGATATAGAACACCAACTTGGGAAAGCAACAGTCGATGAGCTTGGACCAAATGCAACTTTTATTCACTGTGATGTAACAAAAGAATCAGATATCTCAGATGCTGTTGATTTTACCATCTCCAAACACAAACAACTGGATGTTATGTCCAATAATGCAGGGGTACCTTGCTACTCGCCTCCGAGCATTGTCGACCTTGACCTTGCAGTTTTCGACAGAGTCATGGGTATCAATGTACGAGGAGTCTTGGCTGGGATCAAGCACGGCTTTCGTGTGATGATCCCTAGGGGAACTGGCTCCATTCTTTGCACAAGTAGCGTAACCGGAATGATGGGTGGACTAGCTCAACATACTTATAGTGTATCGAAATCTGCGGTTATCGGAATTGTTAAGTCCATGGCGGCAGAGCTATGCCAGCACGGAATCCGTATCAACTGCATATCACCTTTTGCAGTTCCGACCCCATTTACACTAGATGAGATGAGCAAGATCTATCCACACATTGATTCTGAGCAACTTGTCAAAATGATACATAGGTTTGGTGTGCTAGGCAAAGCAACATTGGAACCAAGTGATGTAGCTGATGCTGCAGTCTATCTTGCATCAGATGATGCAAAGTATGTTAGTGGGCATAATTTGGTGGTAGATGGAGGTTTTACATCATTTAAGAGATTGGAATTTCCTTCACCAGATAAGGCTCAGTAAAATTTGAAGAGTATAAATGCCTGCTCAAAGTATGTGGTAAATTTCAAATTTGTTCTGGTTCTTTGCAGTATGGAGAACCAACACTAGATTTAACACAAATGAATTTCAGTAGCTTCTGATCTTATATGGTTGACCTTAATTGTTTCAAGACATGACAGTAATTAGTTTAAACTGAACAAAAAACAGGCAATAAAAAAAGAAAAGAAAATAGAGAAGATATGATCTGCTATATTACCATTTACAAGAGAAATTACTTGCCGAGAGGAGTTTGATTCTAGCCAATAACAGTTCATGAAGCTGTACACGAGGTAAGGGGATGGAAATGCATACATTTCGAGAAACAAGGAAAACACACTATGATTATGCAGATAATCTGGTGTAGTATCAAGCAGAAAAGGGGGGGATCCATGGAATCATGCAGATATTTTCATGGTATACATCAGATTTCCAACCCATATTAACTACAAAACTGCATTTACCTTATTGAGGGTACTTATCAAGCAATGACTTACACTACATAAGACAACACAATATCAACATACAAGTAATCAGCATGGTTCCCACTAAAGGACTTCGTGTTCATGAGTAATGTTCCTGATCGCTATTACATAAATGAAGCACAATTGATAACAAAAACGAATTGAAAGCACTGACAAGTTTAACCAGTAGATACCAAGTACTTACTCAAAAACTCAACCTACTGCTCTTGGGCAGCAACCTTGCTGATCTCAACATTTGTTTCCTCTGGGCAGTATTCATCATCCAACCATTTATGCAGTGTAACTCTGAGCCACTCTGATTCCTACAAGGCCGAATGGGTATTATGAAAAAAAATACATAAAGTTGTTCTTTTAGCACTAAAACGAACCCAAATCAAATAACTTAAAAATTAACGTGAAATTTCAATAATGGGTACCTCCAATGCCTTTGATGGAAGTAACCAGTCGTCCGGAATTCTCAGATCTTCTATTAGGGTTTCATCGTCTTGCCCTTGTTGATTCCCTCGTGGTTCCGAAGAAGACTGAGATCTTACAGCAATGAGCGAACGTTGGGTTATTTTGAGAGTGAAATTAGGGGTTTGAATTGAAGGGGGATTAGGAGTTAGTGGGCGACTGATATTATTGGAATTTGAGATGGTTGCCGCAGCGATTGTGAAGGAAAAACATATGGATTTCATGGTTTGTTAAGTATTTCTTATTTGTCCGATCGATGATTGTGCGTTGAGGGTTTTCTTTGTTTTAAAAAAGGAGCAAACTTGATTGACACTGATAAAGACGCAGAGAATTCTGAAATTATTGAAACAGATACTCCCAGAATTTGGCTGGAAAATTTATGGGTGGCGGGAAAATAGAGATGGCAACTCGGCTCAGTTTATGGTTGATTGGCGTTGTCTGGTTGGTAAAATATTATCCACCCGCCATGGCCGGATAATACTACTTTTTGAGGATGAACTAAGAATTTAGTCACCCACATATTCCCGAGGTTCCGTTTTAGTCACTTCTCATCCAACAAAAATATTAAAAAATATATACAAATCCATTGATTAAAGATGAAATTTTTATTCCATAATTATCCATGTTTGATCATCTCTAAACATAAACCACATCTGCAAACAACTCAGAGATGCATATACATAATACGCATGTCAGTGCAGCAATCAGAGATGCAGGCAGTATCCATAGAGACTCGGATCTCTTTAAAAACAACATAACTTGAACCACAAACAGCTTTATTCAAAGGTTGTGCATTGGCATTGATTTGCTTCAACCCCAAGGAAAAGATATTACCATACTAAAGATTTTTAAAGGCCTTTCAGTAAGATGCTGATCTTGGCGAGCTCGGATTCGGCCTCTCGATTTCTTCCTTCGGGCGGATCACCATCCTTCGGACCTGGTACTGAAATTTCCTGGAATTTGCAATGAGATTTGATCATTAAACCAAAGCACATACTAGAAAATTCATGGCAGACTAACGGAGTTTGTATTTAGTTTTGCACTTAACTGCCATGGATAATGATCTCCAATCAGCATCATATCCCCATCTCCATCGATATAGGTTACATTCCAGCCGCTGCTTCCATCTATCAATCTTCCATTGAAATCAAACATGCGATCGAGCTCAACGATGAGGTCTTCATATCCGTTGAATAGATAAAGATTGATTGATCTTCCAAGAGCAAGTCCATACTTCAGCACCTAAAAGAGAAGAAAATTTTCAGTAGGCACTTGGAACTTAAGCATATCCTTATATAGAAACGCTCTATCCATCGAGTAATTTACGAAAAGGTAGCAGCAGTACCTTGGTGCAACTTCGGTTGCCGATGAAACAGCAGTTGTTGCATTGCTTGCTAGATATACACTTAGAAGGTTCCTCGACACTCGACTGCGATGTCGGAGGAGTCGAACAAAGACGTTTAACCTCACTAGAAGTGAGTACTTGTGGTGAAGGGAGCTCTGGTGAGCCGTTAACTAAATTTACTCCGAAAAGCATGTATCTATGAGCACCTTTTGGTTCAGACAAAGTTCTCCATTCTGGAGACCCGACATTCGGAACTGCAAGCCTTTTGCTAGCACGAGCATCGTCGTGAACTCTATAAGAGTAGAATGTTGTGCTGGTGGTGTATTGATATGACGGGTTGCAGATTGGAATATGAATCTCTGTTTGCTTATGCATCTGTAGTTGGATTGAGTCCCAACCATAATTTTGCGGGCGAAAATGCGGCAATGATTGTGGCAGTGCACTGGATTGATTCGCACATGTATCACTATCTTCTTGACCTTGCAAGACCCCTGAGCTACTTTGGGATTGATATTTAGCTGAACCATGCGACATCCCTAGTAAAGAAGAGATTATGATCAGTAGCTGCAAAAGTATACATTGAATCCGGAAAAGAATAGTGATTACCGACCGTCCATAAGAAAGCTAGAAAAGTCAGGGGATGATGCATCATTAGAGCGAGCCCTCTTCTGAGAATGCAGAGCGAAAGGTTTCTTCATCGTAGTGAGTTCCGTTGTATAGATCCTCCAAGGACAAACTCTTTCAGGGAGCACTGAATTCGATATGGGATTATCCCATTTCACCTAAGAAATCGTAGAATTACATGAATGGATTGAGTACAAGAAAATCAAACTAAAAATCATGCATCTATTATCAAAGGTCATGCATGCAAAACAACACATATTACCTTCAGACATCTCCATTTAGAATTGGGCCACCTAATATGATCGACGTCTTCAATGCCGACAATAGTGCCAAGGGCTCTGGTTTTTAATCAGAATACACTAGGTTAAAGGGAGGTAGGGACCAAAATCATGCTTCAAATTATCCACAAATGATAGTGTAAGCACCTTTGTTCCCTGGATTCTTCACCTTCTATCGGCATTCTAAATCTTGTCCCGATGCAGTAGATGAATTGAACTGACTTCAGATACTGATCAAGTGGGGTGATAAATTCAGAAGACCTTGTCCTGCAAAGAAACAAGAGAATTAATGCCTCTTCCCTTCTAGTTCCAGTGTGACAAGTGAACTTTTGTGTTGCATTGAACTTACCAAGGACGGTAGTAGACAGTAAAAATGCTTCTGCTAGAGAAGGCAAGTAAAGCACTGGCAAGTATTCCATGTCGCATACTGTGGCCAGATATGATCGATGGGGGCAGATTGTTCAATAAAGTCGACATTGCTCGACGAACTCCAACACCGAACTCTCCATTTTCCCTTCTGTAGAAGAACAATAGATCATTTTTGCTTGTAATATCCCATAAAACCAAAATTCAGATATCAATGTAAATCAAACATTGAATCACGTATATGGTATACGACGGAGGGTATTGCAGAGAGAGAACCTTAGAAAGATAAATGTATCCTCAGCAGCAAGCTTCTTTGAAGTGACAAAGGTACTCCAGCCGCTGGTAAGTAAATGCCTTTTTGGCTGGCCTACATGTGGGAACACACAACCGTAAGGAAACAACCTATGGGAAATAAGTTACAAAGTTGTAGACAATAACTACAATTAGTGGAGAAAAGGGCAAGGTAAGTACCACGAAAAACATGTCGAAAGCACCATCGATGACCGTGTAAGTCCGTCACGAGCAGTTCCTGCTGCGGGGTTTCCTGAGACATGTCCTGCAACAGTTCAAAAGTAAATGCTTTGTACATGAAAGCACCAAAAGGACCAATTTTTTTTTTTAAATGGAGATACCAACCAAGGGTGGAAGACACCTATCAATGGCATGTCGCTTCGGGATAGAGCATCCACCGTGCGTGCTTATATCTGACGGAGTTAGCTTCTTACAAAAGAAATGTGGATATATTTTCCGAGGCAATGCTTGATAATTTCTATGCTCCATACTTAGCTCATTTTGCTGTTAATCCATAAAAAAGAATCTAGTATATCTACTGCAAATATCGAAGATTTAAATGAAAAGTGAACTGAATACTATAATCTAACCTCTGCCTCTGGAAGCAATGTAAGTTGTGCATAGATCTCATCTGTGCCAGGTTCAACCTGCAATGCCGAAACATCATAAACGACAACTTATAATGAGATTTTATTAACTGCAAAGAACTGATAAAACACACATGCATGCTTACATGATACCTTAAGCTCAACATGCAACACCCTGCAGATGATCATGGAAGGTAATTTGTAGATGGGCATTTCCATAGTGCTATCTTCATTCATGTATGCCTCGACCTGCATCGAAGGCTTAATCATAAGATGCTCGAATCTTGGTATTTGATGCATTAATCGGTTATTTGGTTATAAAAACAAAATGAAATAGAACCTGTTCCATGTGACCTTGAGGGAAGTAAAGGACTTTTTCTCCAGTGCGTGGCACATAAACAGAAGGACCGGCGCATGCATACCATAGTTTACTATACATATCACATCTTTCTCCTGATTTCACAGCAAAATCAAACCACAAACACTCAAAACAAAAGAATAAAATAAAACCACTTCTGCTGATCATGATTGATGAACCAACTGAAAACAATAGGGAGGGACCCCATCTCTACAAAGTAAAAGAACTAGCAGCCTAGAGTTGGGACCAACAAAAGAAATGAGATATGATTGATTAATTTCCACTGTTTATTTCTTTTGGTACTACAGATTGAAACAATAGACAATTAAAGGTGAAAAACTGATAAATAAATTAAAAAAAAAATTGCAAAGAGTTTTAAAATGGAAGTGAGCTAAACCTTGATTGTGTTGGACATGTTGGTTGTTTCCATTGTTGCAGATGCGTCTACTGGAGTTAGATGGAACCTTAGCTTTGGAACCATTCCGTTTACCATCCATCTCTCCTTTCTCAAAGCTAAAAGAAGGAAGAAGAGAGAAAGAGAGAAGGGAAGGGAAAAGGCAAAGACAAATGGTGCTTATGTATAAGTATTTGTAACCTACAAATAACAAAATGACAAAAGTAGACAGAACAAAGAAAGAAGTCTTTATGCTTCTTCTCTCTCTCTCTCTCTCTTTCTTTCTTTCACTCCCCCACCAACAAGTACTCACTGGCCACCTCGACCTCCATGTACTCTCAGTTTCGTGATGATTAGAAATGCATAAACGTTTTTATCATGTGCCCAATGAGCATGCAAATGGAAGAGAGTGACAGTTTCATTTATATTTCCCTTTAAACTCTGCAATAATTCTTTCTCATCTTCTTTGACTGAAATTTCAGAGAATTTTACTAAACACCATTCTTTTCTCCTCTCCTCGGGCAACGTTAAGTCCTAGGTAGTTGTTTTGGCCTATTCCATGCACGTACATAGCCTGCAACTCTAGCTTTCTCCGCCATCAAATTCAAGATTACATAATGTTTTGTTTTAGGCTTGGCTGCACCCTTGCATGGTGGGGTGATCATCATTGTTAAGACCAGTGATTGAACAGAGTAAACTAAAGCTGGGTTTATTATGTGTCCATTGTTGATTTGTTGAGCATCACATATATAGTTTATAGCATGCCATACATCTGGAAATATTGAGACTAACTGCCACCAGATACTTCCTTCCTACCCCTCCTTTTTCCAACTTTTAAATACATGAAACTAAAATTCAATTAATATACACGTCATTTATAGTTTCACTAACGGAGGTTTTTTCCCCATAGTTTTAAGTGATTACAAGATAGTACATAATATTTTTTTTAAGTATTATTTGTCTAATATTACGCAATATTTCTTTACCACTAAAGTAAGAACCAAGTATTATTTTTCATTGAATAATCTGGGATAATTACATATAATATAAATTTTACATTTTATTTTACTAATGAATTCACGTATTTAGTTCACTGGAATAAGTACGTTAGGTTAATTTTGTTAACATGTATTTAAATTATGAAAATAATACCAAAATAAAATTCAAAACTGGAGATAGGAGGATCCAAAACCTATTCCCTTTAAAAGGGGATGTAGCTCCTAGCCATTGGGCTAGGCTTGTTACCCACTGTTGATTTGTTAATTGTGGTTAGAATAATATAATATTAATTTTAAGAAATATCAATAATTATTTAATTTTTTTATATAAATTTATTGTATTCATCTAAAAGAACTTGCCAATACAAATAAAAGTTACAACCCCAATACAGCAACTCAAGGAGTAAATCAAACAAGATTAAAAAAGAAAGAAAAACAAATAGCAGTAAACAGATCAAGAATTAAAAGCCTCATTCCAGTAACTAAAGAATGATCTAAATTAGAGACTTTACTATATCCAACAAGCCTTAGTTTAGTATATCATTTTTTATCTGAGAAATATTTAATTATTTCTTATTTCCAAATGGCTGTCCTTTTTTCCCATATATATGGGGTAAGGGGAGGTAAGATAGTAGGCTACCCAACACCAGGTTGAGAGCAGCTTCCGTAAGAGACCTCCGAATTATAAAATGCCCTCCGTGGGACTCGATCCCACAACCTCAAGGTTAAATTTGAGACCTCTAGAGATAACTACCAAGTTATCTGTGTAGTCCATGACATGTTTTCCGCGAATAACTTTCACCTCAAAATGAAAGGGAAACTTTCAGACTATTACAATTAAACTGTCGTGCGTATACAAAACTTTCAACTTATCCAAAAGGAACGAATCATTTGAGAAGGGACTTGATATCATTGGCTACGTTCTGTGCATCAGAGCTTGCCCCATACAATCCTCTTCTCGACAGCCCGACGCAGTACAATCCATTGTTCCCCTTCCAATGGTTCGGAAGACTCGGTTTCGGAATCCCGTCATCGTTCAGAAGATAATCGTCTCCCTGTCCCAATACAAAACGAAACGAAACCCCTTCGTTTTGGTTAATCTTAAGGCAGTTGTTTATGTTGTTGTTTCAATCATTCTTTTAACGGATACAATATGCATGTTACCTTAAGCCACAAATGTGTGGAGCGCTTGAAGCCAGTGCAGAACACAATTGCGTCGAAGGAATGTATTTTGCCGTTGTCGAACACTACCTCATCGCCTCTTATACTCGATATAGCTGGCAACACCTATAAAATGGGAAATAAATTACCTTTATGCCAGAAACAAAAACATAGAAATGCTAAATCGAGATGGATGCTATATTTTTTTATGAGTTTTATCCACTATCTATTCGGAGTCTCATGCTTCCTAGATGACGATAACCCTATAATTGAATCTCATTTAATTTGTCACAAAAAAACCTATAATTGATGTAATCATACAAACAAATATCGCTACCATAAGCCTAACATCAATTGTTCTACAATCAAGATATATATATATATATCCTAAGGAAAGATCGAGAAGATGATCCTCTCTCGAGCTCTCATTCGCATCATTCATTTTCGTGTCGAAGTTTGCCCTTTTTCTTTGGCTCTCATAACGAAATATTGATCAATTATTGTGCACTTACCATCGCAACTCTTCACTAAAATCAAAAGGGGTGAACCGTAAACGATGAAGAGTCCAAATTATTCTCATTAACCCAAAAAAATATCGTATCTAATATTACCTGAACCTCCTGTGACTTGACCTTGCTATAGGTTCCTACATCCAAAACAGGGTATTTGCCATAGGCAACTTTCATGAAAAATGGACCCTCCTTAGGCCTGCTAATCCCGTACTTGCTTAAGTTCCTGTAAACAAGCTTGCTAAGCATGATCATCAACGAGTCCACCACGTTTACTGGAACATACTTCAACAGATTCAACCCCAAGTACACCATTTCCCTCGAAAGAATATGAACCTGCAGCACATTTAAAAAAAATAGAGTTCGATTTCGAAATCTAAATAATCAGATCGGTACGTTCATTACCGGACTGCGAACGACGATGGATGTTTTGGCACCGTGATTCGCGAGGTCCAATGCGATCTCCATGCCGGAATTACCCGACCCGACAACCAAAACGTTCTTGTCTCCAAACGCCTTCCCATTCCTGAACTGAGTCGAATGAAGAACTGGACCGGGGAACGATTTCAGTCCTTCGATCTCGGGCGTATAAGGGTTGCTTGCTTCTCCACTAGCCACAACCAAGAACCTCCCTTTAAACTCCTCGACTTCATTAGAACCCAAGTTCCTGGCTTTAACAATCCATCTCTCGGTTGCTTCATCGAACTCCGCCGACTCGACGCATCGACGGTACAAGGGTGTGATCTTGAAACGAGAAACGTAGTCGTCCAAGTAGCTTATGAATTGTTCTTTCGAGATGAACCGCGGGTACGAGTCGGGGAACGGGAGATGGGGAAGCTGGCAGAATTGTTTGTATAAGTGAAGGTGGAGACGATCGTATGAATATTTCTTCCAAAGTGAAGCGAAACAGTATTCTCTTTCGAGGATGATGTAAGGGATTGAGTGGAGGTTAAGGGAAGCGGCGGTGGCCAGACCGGAGGGTCCGGCTCCGATGATAATGACCGGTGGTTGTTGTTGTTGCATTGTTATTATTATTCTCTCGGTTTTCTGGGTTTGAGAGCAAGGAAGGAGAAGGCAGTGTAAAACAAAGAGGTGTGGGGTAGTAGCTTTATACTACGATTACCGTATAACACAAGTTAATATTAGGAAAAAGAATACCTTGATAATTTATCTTTACTTGCATGGATATTATTATAAATATTATTTATATTTGTTCATATCTTTATATAATTTTTAAATAAATAATTATTTAAATATCAAACATAAATTAATAAAATTTATTTATTTATTTTAGTTACATATGTGATAAAAAAATGTTTGAACACAGAGAATTCTTATCCTCTGTGTGCAAATAAAATATGGCCAGTAAGGTGATAAATAATGACAACCAATGATATTTAATTCATCACTTTAATATTCTCTTAATTCACTTATTTCAGATTGGTAAATATAAAGACAGATCAAGATTGATGGCTACCGCTTTGAAAATTCTGGGTATATATCGTAGGGTGAGATCTGGCCATTTATGTGTTTCTATCGTTTTTTTTTTCTTTTTCGTATTATAATTATATTTATAATTATAAAATGAGATGGTATTATATATTTGTTGAATATCAATTTAATTAAAATATGTTTTAAAAATAAGGTAGATTACAATTTACAATGTTAACAGGTGACATAACTTGACGTGCAATTCAGGCCTTATATATATATGGACAAATCATGTCAATAGCATAATTTGTATTTATGTATACTATTGAGCATGCAGCTGCAGTTATATATGCATAAAAATGGTGGGGTTGGATTAAAAGAAAAGAAAAATAAATAGCCCAAAATGCCCTTAAATTATAGCTTTATGCTTTATTTTATATATGTGCAGCTAAAAAATTTATGTTAAATGTTGAGATAGAAAATAAATTATAAATTTTTTTAGGTGTTAAACTAATATATTGGATGCAAAATAAGTCTTATTGTTAAGTAATATCTAAAATATGAAGTAAGCAAATGTTGTAATGTATAATGCCCAAAGTTGAAGCATTGCATGTTTAGGGTAAAAGCAATAATGACATGAAATTTTGTGACAAATGAGTTAGTTGTACACTTGAATTTCCTTCAAGCTCTGACAATGATGTTGTAGCCACAATATTTAATCAAGATTTAATATTTATAATGAGTATCGAGACCCGAGAGATAGAGATGGTAGACGGATATAATTTTGTGGATTTCACGTTGTACCCGTTCTAATTGGGCAGGATGAGTATAAGTTTAGTGAATAGTGAGTAGGTGTGGATTTAAAAAGTTATACTCGATATGGGTAGTGGGTAGGTGATGAGTTTGAGATCTTACCCGCCTCGCATCTGTCCGCCCACTATCTACCATATAAATTTTGAATCATTATTAATTTAAGTATAATTTCAGATACTATTCTGTAAATCTTAAGATTTTATAAGGCATGACTTGTAATTTAACCAAATGTTAGGGTATAAACATTTTTTAACCAAATATTAAGGTATAAACATTTTATTATGCATACATGTTTGTTTTATATTTTGTTGCTTATATAATATGTGAGGTTGATGTCGGGTGAGTATGGATGGGTACAGGCGGGTACGAGATGGATGTTGAGTATCCACTTAGGTAGTGAGTGTGAGGGTGGATTTGAGAGTGTGTGTAGATTTAAAAATATTACCTATCGTGGATAGTGGGTAGGTGATGAATACAAAAATATTGAGTGGGTATGAGGATGGGGAAAGAGATATTCACGCCCGCCCCACATGTTTATCATCCTACCGATAGATTTTGAACTGCAACATTTATAATTTTATAGTAATTTAAATTAAGATATATTTTTAATCATACATATAAACATTAAGTTTTGCTTAGACTTTTTTATTATATTCAGAAATAAAATAAATTTACGAGTGGAATTAAACTCAAATATATCTAGAACTCAACAAGCCTAATCTACTACTCGGGTTCAACCTAAATTTGGTACAGTTTCCCTTCTCCCTTACTCGACATAGCCCCTATATAATTTTTAAAGTACTATTTTAGTGTGTTATAGTTTTTTTCTCACGTAACCGTCTTTTAAATTTAATCTAATTTTTAGCCGGTATAAATACAAATCTTGAACCTTCTTAAAAGTAATTTCTCATAAAGATTCACTAAAAAAAATTATCATGTTGAGTCTGGATTAATTGATAACGTTTCTAATTATTTTATTTTATTTTATTTTTCAAGGTTTGGTCTTCTCTTTGCTATCTACTTTTCTAACAACTGGAAAAGCCAAGGTCAATCCAAGGTTTTCTCGTGGGTCTGAAAGTCTTCTTTGTAAGAATAAACATTATGATAGCATGCAGCAAACTTCATCATCATTGCACACTTTTGCGTGTGTTTTCCTTTGGCTTAATTAAGAAATAAATAAAACTATATTCATTGTTTATAGAAGAGTTTAAATTTTATAGATATGTATAATGTTATTAATATTATCATTTTAATTATTTAATTGTGACAGCCGTAAAAAATATAGTTAAATAAGACATATTATATTTCATTTTTTTTATAAAAAAATTGAAAGCAATGGTGGCCTTCCAAATTAAGGGTGGCTGACGATTATTATTACAATTTAGATATTATGTATTCGAGATTTTAGGGATTAGAGATTTAAGTTTAGGACTTTAGGAATTTTGGATTTTTGAGATGATAGTAAGGATGGTGATTGTTTATTGGGTGACCAATGACGAATGGGTGAACGATCGGCGATAGATGGGTGGTCGACGGTTGTAGTAAAGTAGATTAAAATAAGAGATTTTAAGAATTTTGAGGTTTTTTTAGAGTTTTTTAAAATAATAATAATTTTATATTTTTAAAAAAATAAAATTTTCAAAAGAAAATATAAGCAAGTGTCAGATAACATATTATTTTAGAGTTCAAAGCAGATTAGACACTTAGATGATAATTTTGTAATGTTAAACACATACATTGATAAAAAAAAATGTTTAAATACATAAATGAGAGGGAAAAAACATAGTTTAAAATTTTTTATATTAAACTTTTTTTTCTAAGTTTTCAATTATTAAATATTTAATAATTATATAAATCTTAATTATATTTAAAATCAAATTAAATAATTTTCTAATTAAAAAAAACTCATCGTCGTAAAATTTTATTTAAAAATATCTTTTTTCTTTGTATCATTTGGCCCTATAAGAGTTTTCATCGTTGCTGCCTATTACTTGGAAATATTTAAAGCAACCCCACCTTCGCTAAATATTAAGAAACAATGCCCTCCATCTGTGGGTATAGCTTAAAATCATGAACATGTAGGACATCTGATCTGATATACTGGCCTTGAAATTTGTAATCTGGTAAGCCATAACCAATTAAAAAAGAGAGGGAAACAAGTTGTTTTTATTCACATCAACACATGTTGGTCAATGAATTATGATTTTCTTAGTGTTATCATTTTGCCAAGCATGTTACACGACTGTCTTATAAATATAGGCGTTACATTGAACGACTTATGGGACATTACAACTATTAAAAATTTAATAAATTTTAAATTAGGAGAATAATAAAACTATTTTTATCCCTTAAAAATATACAATTTATTATTAATCTCTGTCAATTTATATTTTTAAATGATTGTCTACTTTTATGTCATGGCCTCTCATGTATAAGTTGAGAGAAGAGGTAGTTTAAGAAGCTTTTTGACTTGTTCAACTCACATTCTTCTCTTTCTTATAAATCAATCACAAAATTGATCGTAATATTTAAAGATAATACCAATTATCTTTTGATCTAACGATATGAAATATTAGATCACTCGAACGTTCAAAATTTAAATTTTAATATCATAAATGGAGTAAATTAGATTGAAACAATTACCCATATGATAGACATGTGCAATATACAAATTTAATTTAATTGATCAAAGAGTAAGATATAGAGTGGTTATGAAAAAAAAATTATAAGTTATGGGTTCGCGGTAATCACTTATTTAAGATTTGAAAGAATCATAATAGTTTAAAGATAATAAAAATACAAATCACAAAGTTATATTAATGAATAAATATACAACAGCAAGTGTTTGCTAGACAAATAACGTACTTTCATTAGACAACAATATGGAAAGATTAGAAAATTAGAAAGCCAAAACTTTGAATGAATTTTTGTATCGATTTTGACTAAACTTCATGAAAAAACCAAATTTAGAAGAATAAAGGAAAGGAGAAGAAAAACTTCATGACTAAACTAAACCACGTATTCAAATCCAATCCGGTTATCCAAAGTAAGAAATATTAACAAGATAACAAATAAACGTCATCTTGATTAGTCGATACATCATCAAATTCAATCAAACGGTCGATAAAAAAGACTGAAAACGTATCATAAGCATAGTTATTAAAATTAGAAAAATAGAAAAAAATAAAGATGTAATATATGCCAAACTAAGAAAGAAAGGATTTTAGGTTAAAGCTAAAACTAAAATTATTTCATTTAAATGATAAGGTAAAAACGGAGAAATAAAATAGGAAATAATATAATAAAATAAAAAGTATGTAAAATGGAAAAATATATATTTATGGTCAAAGATAATAAGAGAGACTATTATGTATAATATACATACTATTTTTATAATCTCAATATTTCAAGTAAATTCGAAAAAAATATTTAACAGTACAGCTTCCACCATTCTAATTAAAGAGACAAGAAATAATTTAAAAATCAAATAAAATCTTAATACTTGACTTGATACATTTCAAAATCAAAATCTTAATTTTGTTTATACATATAAAATCACATATTTTCATTTTCAACCGATTATCCATTTAATATCTACCTTCATTCAAAATGACCTCTACTTTTTTAATTTCAAGATCTAAAATTATCATACCACACCATGTTAAAAATTCAATGCATGTTAAGATGTTAAAACTTATGGTGCAATTTTCATGGTTCCTCACGAAGTTTATCAGCTACTGAGATCACCGGGATGGATTGAGTGGAGCAACTAATATTTCATGTGCAAATTGGAGAATCGAAACCCATAGTCTTCATCTCGATGGCTTCCATTTGTCACCATTGAGAGAAAGTTGTTCATGTTTCTAATCGCCTATTTTTCTTCAATAGCCTTATCGTCGTCGTCGTCATCGGAACATGTACAATACTTGACTATATCGGCTGCACCGGCATTCTTGCCAAGTGCACCGTTAGCTTCTTCTCCAAGTTCGCCTTCAGATATTGAGCCTATGTTCCCTACTCCTAATGGTGTGTCACCTACTCCGTCTGATTCATCTATGCCAACAATACTTCTAGACCCCAGTCCCCCGAATCCGGATAACATCTTGGCTCCGGCTCCCGGTTTCACACTTTCACCAGGTAACCCTTTTCCGGTTTCCGCTTCTGTTTATCGGGTTTCACCTCGTGCTCTAAAATTGACTTTGTTTCTTGGTTTTCCGGAACTTTGTTTACCGCAGCAGCTGTCTGGTGCTTCCTTGCAGTTTCACAATGATTTTTTGCAGAGCATATATTGCTTAGTTTGATTGTATTGTTAGGTGAAAAGTGCATGGCACTGTTGTTAGTAGCTTTGATGCAAATCTCCATTAATGCAAACCAAGATCTCAAGGAATCAAAGAGAAGCTCTGTATAGGTACAAAAAATTGATTTTTATATATAATATCAGCACAAAGACTACATTTAGTACAACATCATGTTCACACTACGGGGAAAAACTACAATGAAAAATTGAACAAAAGAAGGGTACAAACTGAGGTAATACTTCTAACCTGAACTTACATGTATATGGTATTTGCCTTGATGTAACCTAACTCGAAAACTACAGAGCAACGATACTCGGACCGGACTTTGGAGATCCATTGAATAACATCCCGAAAAGCCCTCCCTTTATTTTGTTGAATTCAAGGGGACTCCATTTCCTTGTGGTTGCTGCTTTAGAAATACTATGCTTAAGCTCCATATTCTCATCCTTGAGCACTTGAACAGCCAAACTGAGTTGTCTGATCACCTCTTTCTTCTCTTCGTCTTTCTGAACTAATTGAGCCTTCTGAGCCTTGTTCTCTTCCTTTAGTTTCTCTATTTCTTCCCTTAATTTCATCGCTTCATCGTCGAACACATTCGTTGCAGCTTCTTCCTTCTCAATGTGCCTTCCTTTCGTTACTTTACCGGTTTCGTATTTGTGTTCCTCCACTTCATCTGCACTTTCATCATGTTCAGGGTCATCGACTTCGGATTCAGCATAGTCATTGGAATCAATAGTGTCGGAGCTGCTGTCATAGATTTTGTCCATAGAATTCATGGCCTTATCTGAATGGTACTTCATGGAAGCAAAAGGGGATCCCAATGTTGTTACGAGTCGAGTTCCAGGGTCCGACTTGATTTCATCATACCGCTCGGCAAGTAAACGGTGTGACCGGTAGAAATCTCCAACCAAGCTAATCAACTCGGGACGCTTCTCGTAATACATTTCTGCACGTTTAACAAAGGAATCCGCATCTTCCTCTATCAACTTTAGCATTGCCTGGGTCTTGTTGTCCAGCTCTATCATTGAGATATAACCAATTCCATCATTTTAGAAAATGAAGAGAACAAACAAAAGCATGGTACAAGAAATGAAAATCCAGGAAGTTCAATGAATTGGTCATTGTTACTATTTCTCCCTGGTAATCTTCTACCTGGAAACCATATTATTCTGGTTGACATACATGAGAAAAAAAAATATTGCTCATAAAACAATGCTTTTAGAGGCCTAATGACTTAACCTGCAAAGCTACCCTTAAAAGTTTGTAGGACCATCCACATGTACATGCCAAAGCCCCCTCTAAACAGGAACAATAGGTCACTCATTCCAATACAAGCTCAACATGTCATCATAAACAACCAGCAAATCTTATGTCACTCGAACTCGGGTGTAAGTGTCAGACATGAATATGTATCCAAATACAGATAAAGAGTTCGAGCATAAGTATCAAATACAAATACTTTAGAAAAATAAAGAGTTCAAATAACCTAAGTTAGAGTCTACCCCAACACCATTACCATACATAGTTACATACCATACTCCTAGAGAACATGAAAAAAAAAACATCTTTTAGAATACAAGACAAAAACATCTCAGGTTCCCCTAAAATCTGTACTCCTGTCTCACACGTAAAAGAAAAGGCTGTGCTGGTGGAAACCTACTGTCTCACCCACAAATAGTGATTAGTGACTAATTAATCACAAACATAAGGCCCTAAAATTCTCATGAATCCGTTGCAGTCCCACCATCCTAACAGTGATATACCGTAGAAAAGAAAAGAAATATCAAAAGATTGAAACACTCGTAAGAAAGAAAAGTGAAAAAGCATATAAATATACGTATGTAACGCATTGCCTCCAACGGTCAGAAACAAGAAAAAGATCAAGAAATCTTCAGCCTTCGATAACAGCTCTGCTAGCAGAAAGAAGAAAAACGAAAGAGTATCTGAGATTGTAATAAACAGTGGGGGAAAAAAGAAATGGAGTTTACCGGAAAGAGTGGATTGAAGCCATTGGGATCGCTTTGAACCGTCGTGATGACTATCAAACCACCACCACCGTGAATTTCCCATCTTGCTCATCATTTGAACCACCTCTTTCTCTTGTCTCCTATTTGCCTTAAAAAGAAGTCAAACTCTCAGATTTTTCAGTAAAGATTAAAGAGGACAAAGCAGGGAATAGTTTAGGCTTGAAAATTGTTCAAACCTGAAGAAGAAGAAAAAAGACTAAACACTAAAATTCTTAGCTTTTTTTATCCTGTACAAAAAAAGCTACTATTGACATATATTACATAAACACAAAGATAGAAAAAAGATTTATATGGAAAGAAATCTGGCAGTTCAATCTATGCTTTACCGGAGAGAGTTTGAAGTTATAACTTCATAATGAACCCAGAAAAACAAAGAAAGGGAACCCTTTTAAGCTTCGAATGAAAAGGTGAGATGAGATAATAAGACAACACGAATGCAGATGAGTGAAGGAAGATTTACCCAGAAACAGAGGTTGATGGAGTTTTCCTCTTTTGTCTTCTTGCTTTCTTCCCCCTGGATTTGGTGCGTAACTTCCAGCCCTCCCAGCCTATACTACTAATAAATACTGTGCAGTCATTGATAGCGGGAGAAACTATATTTTTAGTCACCCACTTATTCTCGTAGTTTTATTATGGTCATTCAATTATATTTTTTAAAAATTATTTAACATTATGTTGTGGTTCTATATTAGGTACTTGTTTAAAAATAAACATAATTATTAATGTGGTAATTTTTTTAAATTATGATATGTTATTATATTAGGATGAAACTTCAATATCTACGTTAATTTTTTATTAATATATAATCAAAATATAACATTAAGTATAATTTTAAAAAAATTTGATGACCAAAATATAATCACAAGAATATGTGTGGGGTTAAAAACGTAGCGTGCCTTTCATAGTATTAGTGAGACCTTTTGTCTTCTTTCATTGTTTGGGATTGTGTCCTAACCAATCACTTTGTTACACGTGTTAAAAGCAAAATATTTTGCATTCTCCAATGCCGTGAAAAAAATATTAATATTTTAATTAACTAAAAGAATCGCCTTATTTCCACATAATCTGTGTTTAATGGCCTTAACTTTAATTTTAATCCGAGGGATTTATGCATAATTTAAGGGAAATTTATTATTTATTTATATTTTGAGTATTCGGGGGGAGGAGGGTTAATGTATAAATAAGAAAAGATGAATTAATTAAGATTTGTTTAATATGAAAACCTCTTTAACTGATTTTGTTAAACACAAATCAACAATGTGTTTTGAATAATTAGATTAGAGATGGTTTCGATTATTGATGTGAATTCAAATAGGATGGTAACAGTTGGATTGATGACAGGTCACATTATGGTCATGAGTCATCACAATGTGGCCGTATGAATTAATAAAGATTTTGGAGTAACGGTCGAAAATATCAGACACGACAGTCACGTGAAAAAGAAAAGAAACTTCCAATTATTCCTAAAGGCAAAGTGAAGCCAAGAAGATGGTGTTTTTTTTAATAATAATTGATATTTTACTTATTAACTAATAAATTTAAATTAAATATTATAATTTTTTTTTGATAAATTTTAAATTAATTTATTAATTTAAATTTAATATTATAAAATTTTAATTTTGAATTAAATGCAAACATTTGATATTAGTTAAAAAGATTGATGTTTTATTTCATTAAATTAATTAATAGTTAATTGATATTTTTTTATTTAAGTGGTAATTGTATAATATTATTCTTTTGGTTTTAAAAAAAATGCAAAAGCAGTAACATATCTAACTACTCAAACATCAATGTCTGTATTAAGAAGTATGCGAATCCAAACGAAAGGATGATGCATAATATGAAGGCCTGGACTTGTTGTTCGACCAAGATGAACCAAATTATTGGTGACAGCATTTGTTTCTCGATGGACATGCCTGATATTGATAATCTATTGCAGTCGGTGAAGTTTGTGGATTTTACGAATGATTGCCATCTCGTTCAGCAGAGCAGGAGAGTTAAAAAGGATTTTGAGTAGATATGTTAAGGTTCAAAACGACTTAGTCTTGAAAAACTATATAAATCATTTAATTTATGTATTAATTTTGTTATTAAATTTTAGAACACTTCAATCTTAAGTATTCAACTTTTCAACTATTGCTAGTAGTTAATCGTCATCTGTCACTAATCATCATTCGTAGCAAAATAAACATTAAAGCGTTCGTAATTCACTTCCCTTTCTTATTATCGGATTAATTTTTTCATGAAATCCACTTAAAATCAATGAAAATCATCTAATAATTTGACATATTAATACTATAGTCTCCTCTTATGATCGTCTGATGATGCTAATTTTGAGGTACATTGTTCATCTTCTTGAAATAATATGTTTCACTGCCTGAATTTTTGAACATACACTCTAAAACTTCGAAAATAATGTATTTAATTATGTGAGTTTAAAGATATTTTAGAAATTTCTAAGCTAACAAAGTGGTAGAAGACTATAATACAAATTTATTAATGTCTAGACTAACCAAAAAGACACTCAAAAATGTTTATTTTCTTTGACATTAAAAATAGTTAAAAGGATCTCAACTTTAATAAAGAAATGATTACACTAAATTGTTGGAAATCACAATCTTTCCCGCTTCGTGAAGTTAAGATAGACACTTAAAGATTAAGAATAGTTGAGAGGACACAAGAGTATAATTCTCCAATTTAGAGATTCTTATACTATAAAAAGGAATAGTAGGATTACAAGGATGTGTTCATAAAATTTGACTCACACTCGGTGGCTCACTCAAGCTTGAGGATAAAGACTTCTCAATCTATCTCTCTTTTTTCTCAAATAGGCTCTCTAACTCTCTAGCTTCTCAAGATTGGATTTCTTGGATTTTGGATTGTTAGGAATGAAGTCTCTCACCCCTATTTATACTACTTCACCTCCACAATGAACGGTGGAGATTATTTACATCAAACGGTGGAGATTAATTATCTAGAATACTCCACACACTCTAGGAAGCTCTACACTCTTCCACTTCCTTCTATATTCTTCCATACTCTCCCATAAGGTTCCACACTCTTCCATAAGATTCCACACATCTAAATAATATTCTAGAGGATTCCACACATCTCCAAAATAATCCAGATGATTCCACACTCTTCCATAAGCTTCTAGAGAGTTCTACACTTCTCTAGAGTTATCTGGAATGTTCTAGAAAATTCTACACTTCTCCAGAAAGCTCTAGAATTTTCTAGAACCTCTCCAATTAAGGAGAGATCAAACAAATCTCCCCCTCTCGACTTAATTTGGAGGTAGTAGCAAGTTGACACCTTGACAACAATCTTCGAACCTTTTGTACAATTATCTTGGTGCTTGTTTAAGCCCGTATAGACTCTCAGTCAGACGACACACTAGATTTTATTTGTTTGGAACTTTGAATCCTTAATGTTGCTCCATATAAATTTTTTCCTCTAGATCTCTATGTACGAACGTCGTCTTGACATCGATCTGTTCAATCTCCAAATCTTGCACGGCTGCTAAGCCAATGACCATTCGGATGGATGATATCTTTACCATGGGAGAGAATATTTCTTCAAAGTCTATACATTTTTCTTGTCTGAATCCTTTGACGACCAACCGAGCTTTATAATGAGGCTTTGAGCTGTTATCTTCAGTCTTGATCCGATACACCCACTTATTCTTCAAGGCTCTTCTCCTTTTTGGTAGCTCTACAAGTTCATAAATTCTCATGCAAGGATTGCATCTCTTCTTGCATGGCTCTTCTTCATTCTTCTTTATGATTATCACTCATTGCTTCTTTATAGCTTTGAGGCTCCCCCTCATCAATGAGCATAATGTACTCATCTGTATTATACCAAGTGGATGGTCTTCTATCTCTCGAGGATTGTCTCGGCTCTGGTGTTGTTGGAGAGCTAAATTGAGGCTCTTCTTGAGCTGGTTCATCATGAGTCTTCTGGTTGCTTTGTTCTAACACAGGTTCATGATCTTCGGCATCATTTTTTTCTTGTGTATTATTATCCTCAAGTCGAATTGGAGTAGGTTCGATGTTCTTGTTGCTTCTCAATCTTGGTCTCTCTGAATTTTTGATATCTTTGATTGTTTGGTGTTCGAAGAAAACAACATCTCTGCTGCGGAAAACCTTCTTATTGACTGGATCCCAAAATCGATAACCGAAATCATCCTTAGGTGAATGAAGGTAGATGTATTCTTTCTTCTTTATGTCAAGCTTGGCTCTCTCATCTTTGGGTATGTGAACAAATGACCTACACCCGAATACCTTGAGATGATTGCATGAAGCCCTTTTGCCCGTCCGGACTTCTTCTGGGATACCCAAGTTCAAGGGAACTGATAGTTTAAGGTTGACAATGTCAACCACTGCCATTATAGCTTCTCCCCAAAATGATTTGGTTAACTTATCATGAGAGAGCACACAACGAACTCTTTCTTCAATAGTTCTGTTCATTCTCTCAACTAGTTCATTCAATTGTGGTGTCTTGGGTGGAGTCCTCTCTAGTCTAATGCCATATTTTTTGCAATATGCTTTAAAAGGACCTCTATACTCACCTTCATTGTCAGATCTTACACAATTGATCTTCCGTCTGGTCTCACGCTCCACTAGGGCATGGAATTCTTTGAATGCGTCAAGCACTTGATCCTTTGATTTTAACAAGTACACTCACACCTTCCTTGAATGGTCATCAATGAAGGTGACAAAGTATAATGCACCACCTATTCAACTCTCAGACATCGAACACACGTCGGTGTGTACGAGGTCTAGGATGTTTTTTCTCCTTGTGGGCGGAGAAGATCTTTGGAAAGCAACTATGTGTTTTCTAGCTAAACAGTGAGCACAAGGATCAAGTGGTTTACCTTTCACGTCAGGTAGGAGTTGTTTCCGAGCGAGCATGTGAAGACACTTCTCACTGATGTGTCCAAGTCGTTTATGCCATATCTCCACATCTTCAGTGGTGATGTTTACCTCTTCTTTGTACAGCTTAGCTTGCATTACATACAACCATTATTAGGCTTCCTTTGGTGAGCTTACACTTTTCTTCACCAAAGTAATTTATCAGACCAGCATCGTCTAGCTTCCCAGCAGAGATAAGATTGAGGCGCATGGCCGGAACATGCCTCACATCTTTTAAGATAAACTTGCATCTAGTTCTTGTCTTCAGGATAATGTCTCATATCCCGACGATCTTGCTCCTGTCTTGATTTCCCATTTGCATCATTCTAAAGTCACTACTTCGGTAGGATGAGAAGAAACTTCCATGTGGAGTAACATGGAAAGAATCACCAGAATCGACAATCCAAGAGCTATCATCATAAGCAATGTTTAGGATATTACCTTATCAACGAAATATAACATATCTTCTTTTGATACTATGGCAGTAATACTATTTTCTTCTTGTTTCTTCGTTGGGCTGATTTGGTATGGCTTAACATTACCGGCCTTCATGTTAACATTAAACTGTTATATCATTAAATATGTAAAACTAAAATTCAATCTTACACTGATATTAATTCATAGTTCAATGATATTTTAATACAAAAATAATAGTTTTTCTTTTTATTAATATGAGGTAAATATAAGACAATATTTGTTTAAAAATAACTCTCAACATTGAACGCTCACACCCCTTGACATCTATAGTGCTAAACCAGAGTCCTTAAGGAACAACAATAATTTTTTTTAGCACGGAGTCCACTTGGTCTTGCCAAAAATAATAGTTAAGTGGTATAATAATCTGATTCAGTTTATGCTATAATAATTTATGGACTTACACATTTTTTTCCTTTTGTTTTTCTTTGATAGAAGGCTTACATAGTTTACAAACTCTACAATTGGGCTTCGTTATGATAATAAGAAAAGTTAAATACTTTCATGGGCTTTGTATAAAATAATGCCCCAAAACCTCAATGATCCAAAACCAAATAATAACAAGAACGTGAAGTTGAAAGAACCGAGACCCAAAAACCAAATCAAAGCCGGATCCGGGAGACAATCAGACAAAAAGGACCTGAAACAGAGCGATGGGTCGGCCGTGACCCATGACTCCACCACCTCCGCACTCCGCCACACAAACAACTAAAGCCTAATACCTTAACCTTTTTCTTTCTCTCCCCTCTCCTGCAACCATCTTTTTCTCCTTATCTCTAATGAACCCTTACAGATTTCATCGGACACTCCAAAACCCGGGTCAACCCCGTGATCCGAGAACCGGATCCATCTTGACCCATGGGATGTTCTTTATCTTACATGTGTTTTGATCTTGACCCATGGGTAGCTTCATCGGGTCTTGGTTGGTTAGGATAAGGAGAGAGATCTGCGGGAGTTTGTTTGAATATTGTTTCTTTTAAGCTTATTCCTCACTTTTCAGGACTGCCTTTGTTTAAGTTACTTGATTTATTAGGTGAAAGGGTTAATTTATTTTGTATTACTGATTAAAATCCTGCGCTTTTGGTGCATTAGTGTTGTAGGTGATTGACTGCTGAATCAATTCAAATGTTGGATTTCTTTTCGATTTTCGGTCGGATACCATGTTTGTTTACTGCTGATTATTAGCTTATTTTTGTATGGAGAATGAGATTTTTGTAATGTAGGTTTGATTAGACTCTTGGAAGGTATGTATAACTTCACTATTGGAAGGTAAATTGTTGAGTTATTTGAGATCTTTAGAGGATTAAGAAAAAGGAAGGATTGATGCCATTAAAGAGCATTATCCAGGACATGAAGGGAGAGTTAGGGAGTATATCGAGAAAAGGGTTTGATGTTAAGTTTGGGCATGGGATGGGATCAAGGTCGCAGAGGATTGTCCAGGATAGCTTGGTTCCAATCGATGCATTTAATCAGAGTTGTTGGGAAAACATGCCTGCCGAGCTTCTGAGGGATGTGTTGATGAGAATCGAAGCATCCGACATTACTTGGCCCCCAAGGAAAAATGTGGTTGCTTGTGCCGGGGTGTGTAGGAATTGGAGAGAGATTATGAAGGAAATTGTGAAAACCCCTGAAATTTCTGGCAATTTGACATTCCCAATCTCATTGAAGCAGGTAATAGATGTTAGCTTGTACTTTTTTCTTTCTTTCCTATTGCTGGTTAGTTTAAGCCAAGATATGTATTACATAGTTTGCTTTCTAGAACTGCTTCATGATACCCTCTAGATACTTTCCGAATCAAAAGTCTGAAATACGTTTGGTTCTGTAACTGTATCCTGCTGCATTACAACAATTGTTCGTAAAAGCCCTTTGAATTCTAGCGATAAACTAAGAACATGAAATTCTCCTTCATAATGTCCCAGTTTTTCAACTGTCGATTCTCCTGACATGAATTGCGAACCTGAGAGTTCATTTCTTCATCAATTATCTGTTGATTTGTAACTGATAATTTACGGCATTTATGCATTGCTTTTTGTGTTTGCAGCCCGGTCCAAGGAACACTCTCCTTCAGTGCTACATAAAACGGAATTGTAGCAATCAAACATATTATCTTTACCTTGGCCTGAATCAGTGTGAGTTGTTTTTATTTGTTTATGTTTTCTTTGCGCCTAGGGGAAGGGCTTGTTGTCTGCTTCTATATATTCACTCATGAAATCAGGCTGCTTGCTGTTGTCTTCTGACAGCAGATTTTGCTGACCATTGTTTATTGAATTAAAAACATTGAGGGTATATTATTTAGTTTAGATTCATAGTGTTATCGTTTTATTTGAAACTGTTTCGATGTGTGTATTATCTTGGCAGCTACCAATGATGATGGAAAATTCCTTCTTATGGCAAGGAAGTGTCTACGGCCTACTTGTACAGATTACATCATCTCACTATATGGCGATGATGTGTCAAAAGGTAGCAGACCCTACATCGGAAAATTGAGGTATCGTTACGCAGATTATGATTTGAGTGATAACATTACTCATTTTGAAAACCTGTAACTTTTTCTTGATTTGCTAAAATAGATCAAACTTTTTGGGGACCAAATTCACAATCTATGATTCACAGTCACCGAATTCTGGAGCCAAAGTTACCAAAAGTTGCTTCACCAGGTTGATGAATGTGAACCAAGTTTCTCCTCGAGCCCCAGCCGGCAACTATCCCGTAGCACATATCTTGTATGAGTTGAATATCTTGGGTTCTAGGTAAGATGTACGTTGAATGTTGCTCTATCTATCTCTGTTTTTTTGCATCACATATTTAGTTGATGCTCACTTAAAATAACATATTCTCGGAAATAGAGGTCCAAGGAGAATGCAGTGCATCATGAATGCCATCCCAGCCTCTTCTATTGAACCCGGAGGTGTCGCTCCCACACAGACTGAATTTCTACACAGTAATCTGGACACCTTTCCATCTCTACCGTTCTTTAGATCAAAATCAACCCGTGCCGAGAGTTTCCAGTCCGGACCTTTATCCGGCCAAAGAGATGGAATGCTGGTATTGAGGAATAAGGCACCCAGGTGGCACGAACAACTCCATTGCTGGTGTCTCAACTTCAACGGGCGTGTGACGGTTGCTTCCGTCAAAAACTTTCAGCTGGTTGCATCTGCTGGGGAGAACGTAGCTCCTGGGCAGGAGCAGCACATGAATGTCATCCTCCAGTTCGGGAAAGTGGGGAAGGATGTGTTCACAATGGATTACCAGTATCCGATCTCGGCTTTTCAAGCGTTTGCCATATGCCTTAGTAGCTTCGACACTAAGATTGCATGCGAGTGATTCGCAAACAGGTATGTGACTGATATGTAATTTTGTTGTAATATGACTAATCGTTTGTTGGTTTAATATAATCCCTTTTGAATTGCAGGTATTGACCTTGGAATGATTTTAACCTTACTTTTTTAGTTATTAACTGTAAATATTAATATAGGTGTTTGTATTAAGAGCGAAGCATAATGACAAGTACGATGGCTATGTTTGCTAACATGCCGGACTGTCACTTTTGATCATTTGACACAGAACTTGGAATCGTTGGATAATAATCCCATTCATGAATTGTTAATCAGAAATTCTTTTTATTTATCCCATTTGAAACTGGTTGAAGAATTCTATTATGTCTAATTATGGTTTTAGTCCCTTTAATCATCTTATTTTAATTTTACATTATTTGTTCATCTACTTTACAGGATTATTAGTAGTAGGTCTAGATCCATGGCATGCTATTGTTAATTTTCTTCTGTAAAACAAGACAAAAAACTATCAAGTATTCAAGTGACATAAACTTATGATATAATTGACTGAATTTTCATATGGTGTGATCAATAATAGCAAAATAATTTTTTATAACCTTAATGAAAACAACCAACGATATTCCTAATTCAAACCTCTAAAAATAATATTATAAAAGTAGTGAAACAAATTATCTCATATATAAAGTTCAATCTCAAATTCAGTATAATAAAAGGACTAAAATCATAATTAAACCAATAAAAATTTATTGTTACTTCCAAATGATCAAATCATTAGGTGTATGTCACGGTCCCAAGCCCAATGGACCCAAATGCTAAAAATGAGTTCTCCCTAATAATTTACATTCTCTATTTCTTCTACTTCATATAAGTTCAATCACAAAACCATTTATATTACATCATAGAAGAAGATGGTTTTCATGTCTTAAAAAAAATATTAAAAGGATGATAATTTTCAGAATGTACACAGAATTTTATATTAGAAAGATAAACCAATAAAATTTTAGAATTTTGAAAGCAAATTTTCAATAAAAATGTATTTGTTCAAAGATTCAACCGTTTGACATTAAATACACATACACATACACAATGCTCAAACTCAGAAGCTCAATAAATAATAACAATTCTTTAATCGCTAAGGTTATGTAATTCGTGTCTCAATTATGAAATATTTTGGGGCATACAATTAGGGAGGCTCCCATTTCTGGAAATATTACCACTCCTATAAGTAAACAGTTATGTCTTGTATTTTAGGTTTAAACGTATGGTGATTAATTAATGGTCAAATGAACATATGCTTGAAGTCCAATCACACCATATGGTCATCGAGCATCGAATAAGACAATACCACAGAATTTGTTTTCCAGCAATGCTTGACTGCCTCCCCACATTTCTTTCCTTTTAAATCTTTGACGTTGCCTCAACCTTAAGCATGTTGAAGCTAAATTTGTCATTTAGTACAACTTCCCTAAAGTTTGTCACCTTAACGATCCATCATGTGCTGTGTTTTGTGTTTCCATATTCCTTATATTCATATTTATTTTAATATTATTTAAAATGTACTATTAATTTTTGGTATTATGAAAGCCACGTCAATGATTGAAAAATATAGAACCCGCTCATCCTCAGCATGCCCATGTTACTGAATAATCCAAAAACCTAACTCGGTCTTATCACAAGCCTAACCTATTCTTTAAATAATAACTTTTTTTTATTTCTATTTATCGCGAGTTATCAAAATTATTTTTCTCAACAATAAATTTGTAAATATTATTCTCATGAAATTAATTTTGTTGATTAAATTCATTTTAATAAAGTTTTAATGATTAAAATGTTTAAATTTTATTAGTTTAAGAAAAAATCAACAATTAAGTATAAATCTTTTATATGAATTTTTGTGATATATATTGAAATAAATGGGAAAAAGGGGATGTCTATATAATTCGCACAACTGGAATTGATAGGACATAGCAGGGCAGGCAGGCTTAGGCCGCCCTCAAAGGCGAGCCAGTTTCTTTCTTCTTCTTTTTTCATTGGAGTCCCTACACTTTTTGGCATCACCATTTTTAGCCCCGCAATCCCTATCTTCTCACTGACCACTCACCATCCTTTTTGCCTTTAAATCACGATATACGGATGACGTATGTTTTACAAATTTAAAAATTATTTTATTTTTATTTAATTTATACTTTTTTAATTCTATAATTTTAAATTAATATTTTATATTTCAAAGTTAAAATAATTTAAAAATAATGCATAAGAATTATGAATCATTATTTTTACTTGATCAATTATCTTTTAGAAACAATTATTAAAGAGATTTTAAAATTTTATATGAAAAACAGAGGGTTGGATCGAATTATTACAAATGATTTAAAAATCTAAAATAATCAATCTCACCCTTATTGTTTTACTATTTAATTTTTCATATTATGTATATTTAAATTTAAGAGCTAGAAATTCGCAAAAATAAAAGTTGATTAATAAAATAAACTTCATTCAATAGAGCAAACTGAGTTGGAAGGGTCGCTTTGCCTCTGCAGTACTCGATCTAATTTATTATTTTCATCTTTATCATATTTTCGCATCAATTTAATATTCAAAGTTGTTTAATTACATCATTCTATACTCTACCCTTAACTTAAAACCCTAAATTATAATCATAAACTCTAAGCCATAAACCCGTAACCTCTAAACCATAAACCTTACACTCTAACTTAAAACTCTCAATTTAGGATATAGAATGATACAATTGAACAATTTCAAAAATTAAATTGATGCGGAAATACGATAAGAATAAAAATAATAAATCGAGTCTACTATAGAGACAAAAGTTAACTTTTTTTACCTATATAAAACGGGGCGTATATTGAACTTCTAACGTCGGTTTTGATTTTATTTGATCGAAATTTGTAGAGGTGAAATCTAAATTATTATAAAGTTTGAAATTTTCCAATTCAAACTAATACAAAACTCATTAAAATGGGTTCTACCAATAGTTGAATAAGTGCACATTATTACCAACTCTCATCTAACTTTCGGACATTGCGTAAAGCTAAAGATGTCTCATTTGATACAACTGCATTTCAGTTTTTTAATCCCATAAATGCGATCACAGAATTATGAGATGTTTTGTTTATTTTATTTTATTTTTTTCAAATATAAATTAAAAATATATCATAATGTCTTAATCATACATATAAAATCGAAACTCGTTAAAATCAATATATGAAAGGCAATCAACTTATAAACAAATGTAATTGCGGGACTCGTAATATACGATGAGGTGACATTTTATTAACCAACATTTATTACCATCTTCAAAGTTAGGTTTTATAATTCACTAATTCAACATACATAGAGAGTTCCGAAAGAAAGGTTTTAAAGATTTAGATTTTGAGAGTCACAACACATTTTCATAATATCTAACAAGTTCATGTAATTTACGATAACAAAATTTATGTCATGTGATTATACCTATATGATTTGTCGAGTTACAAATAGTCATTATTTTCCTACACTTGACATACGTATCATGTGTTACTAGAAAACTTATCGACCATGACTGAAAGAAGGGATTGAGATCACCTCACCGTCACTTATTCCGTCTCCTCGTGGAAAGATAAAATATTGACACAAGCCAACAATCAATTCTTTTGAATGATTTAATAAAAATATTTTTATTTTGTGTTGTTCGAATCTAAATTAATTTAATTTTTTCATAAAAACTAGCTCTCTCTGTCGTGTCCAAAATTGGCACAGCGTTGTTGTAGACTCGTAGTCCCGCGTTCTAGAATTGTAAGGGGTAACAACGTATTAATGTTACTCGGACAAGTGGGTGGCTCCCAAAAGGTGAATGATTTAAGGATGATTATTATTATTATTGGTAGATGTTTACTTTTGAATTTAATGTGAACCCTAAAATTAAAATTATTTATGGCTAAAAGAAAAGATAGTAAATAAACCAATATTATTTAGACAATGAACGGAGGGAATCCAAAATCCAGAAGTTAATGTACATATCGACATCATATTCAATTTCTCATTGTTGGGAACCAACAAATTAATCATAACTTCATTGTTGTCACTTTCCTAACCGGTACAATAATTTCGTTACTTCCCCAACATCATACACGTATTTAATAATGCCCTCCGTCTATCACCATTCATCAAATCAAATCTTACTCCAATTTCCATCTTAAAAAGATCAAATTGCATATATATTTACATAAAGCATAATAATAAAAAAGTTCTAATAGGATTTGATTAAATGATTCCTTTAATTTTTACTTTTTAAAGCATTTTAGCTCTTAATTTTTGTTTTGGGATAAAATATTTTTTGTTGGATAAAAACTATTAATTAACTAATGATCAACATTTATTATTGTTATTGACATGACAAGTCTTATACGAACAAAGTGATGACGTATCACATACAACATGTTCAAAGTGATGGCGTGACAAATTTTAAAATTTACCATTTGATCATCAATTTAAAATAAACAATAAACTTATATATATATATATATATATATATATATATATATATATATATATTCACATGAGTTGTGGGATAACTCTTTAAAAAAATATTGTTTTTGAGAGAAAATTGATTGTTTAAAATTTTAGAAGAGGAAACTGTCAAATTTTGATAAATTGGATTTTTTGCCAAAAATTTAGAAGAGGGGAAATTTGATTTTTTTTTAGAATTTAGAAGAGGCAAGAGGGAAATTTTAATTTTTTTTGGGAATTTTGTTGAACCATATTTTACAAAGTAATATCGATACCATAGGCTTAGTATCGATACCGTCAGGCCCAACGGTTAGTTTTATTTAAAAATAACAAATGTAGTATAAATACTTCCTATAGGAGTATCGATACCCTCTGTACTGAGCAGTTTTATTTTGCATATAAAACATCCCCAGCGGCTAAAAACGACTACAAACACATTCCAACATATAAATTCAAGTTCAAGACATTTGAATAAGGGTTATAACACCTATCTAAGCATTCAAACACAAGAGAAAAGCTTTTGACTCTTTATTTTTATTCTCTTGTAAATATTAGTGTTTAGTGAGCTTTACTTTGTAAACACCTTCCCTTTTATAGATGTTTTATTTGTTTA